GTGAATCGAACCCGCAATCTTCCGGTGCCTGGGACGATGTCCAACCAGCTGAGCCACACCAGCTAGAGCTTGAGTTGGGTAGTTTTTAGAAAGTGTGTTAATTACGGTTATCCAAGGCTTCATTCAGTGGCTACGTCAGTAGCCATCTTTCTAACTAGCCCTGCCTTTAAGAGAGAACAAATTAATTTCTTAATGAACTAGCTCATAGTGTAGGAATCATTTAGTAGTGACATTTGATTTCTCCAAATGGGAAAATCCTAAGCATTTTATTTTAGACTGTCTAACATTCTTTACTAAAGCATTTCAAAACCAGTCTCTTAAAATGTCTTAATTTAGGGTAGTTGCACTGTGTTTACGAAATTGCCCATTGAAAAAAACAATGTCTCTTAAAACAGTGCTTGGGCTTACTGCTTGGCTATGTTTTTGTTTTCTTAAAAAAGAAAAACATGGCAACTTTTTTTCCCCCTAGAAAAACACTAGACTTAATTTTAGAAGAGTTGGTTTGACTCTGGGTCTTGCTATCAATTAGATGTGTACCTTCAGGCCAAGTATGTAATCTACGTTAGCCTTGTTTGTTTCATTTGACAATGGGGGTGGAACTCATTCTCAGCGTGATTACGATGTCAAATGAGATAATATATGTGAAAACCCTTTAATGTGAATTGATTTATAAATATAATGAACATGGTGATACTGTGTCTACTTTAATGGACATTAAAAAAATTTTTTTTTTATCTTCACCCAAGGACATTTTTCCATTTGTGTGTGTGTGTGTGTTCAGATAGAATGGGAGGGAGGGAGAGAGGGAGAGAGAGAGAGAAACATCGACGTGAAAGGGACACATCAAGTGATTGCCACCCGCACAACCAACCAGGGCCAGGGACAAACTGCAACCGAGGTACGTGCCCTTAGCAGGAACCGAACCCTGGTCTCTCTGGACTGCAGGCCGACGCTCTAACCGCTGTGCCAAACTGGCTAGGACTTTAATGGACATTTAATCCAAGTAAGATAAGCACTGTTTAGTAGCACTGTCTCTAAATGCTGTCTAGCTACTGTAGATGAGAATCATGGAGAAGAATAAATGTTTTTAAATGAATAATATGGCTGTCTTCTCTTTCTCTTTCCTATTCCAATGAGTGCCTACGAGAAAAAGGCTGCTTCTAAGGAGTGATGCTAGTTTTCTTCTCTTAAATTATAGATGCACCAATTTTGTGTTATAGTAATAATCAACAATAGCCAACACTTAACTAGTGCTAACTGTACCTGAACAGCTCCCAGGACTTGACAATATTAACCCACATAACCCTCCCAATAACCTTAGAATAGCTGCTGTTATCGCTACCAGTGTAAAGTTGGTGAAAAGGCACAGAAAGGGGAGCTTGTTCAAAGTTACATAGTGTTTCCAGTCAAACTGAATTTTCCTGTTCCTTTCTTTCAATTCTTAGGACAGAATTTGGCAGAAACAATATACTGTGATAAAGGATGTCGTAAACATTACTTGGGTCTTGAATATAGGCAATAGCAGCTCTTTTTGGATAAATGATGCTGCCTGCATCCTTGTTGGGATGACACAAGAAGTATATCTGATTGTCCTTTCTGTTTTTCTTTTTACTCTTCAGTGCATATTACTGGATGCATTAGTGTTAATTTCCTAGGATTACTTGTGTCTCCTGACCCTAAGGAGCAGTAACAGGAAGCTAACCTCACCAGGGAGGTACGGCCATCTCAGTCCCATGCGATGAGTGAAATAATTGAAAGAAAGAGCCCCAAACTCTATATAAAAAGATATTCTATTGTAGAGCTCACACACCCTTTATCCTTTTTTTTTTTTTTATCCTCACCCGAGGATATTTTTCCATTTTTTGTACAGATAGAGTGGGAGGGAGAGAGAGAGGAAGGGAGAGAGAGAGAGAAACATCGACGTGAAGGGACACATCGAGTGGCTGCCACCCGCATGACCAACCAGGGCCGGGGACGAACTGCAACCGAAGTACGTGCCCTTAGCGGGAACCGAACCCGGGTCTCTCCGGACCGCAGGCCGACGCTCTAACCGCTGAGCCAAACCGGCCAGGGCACCCTTTATCCTTTTTTTATTTTAAGACAGACTTTATTTGAATTAGGTTCATATACTGTACTTAATCATTTTCAATTTAGGGATTTTCTTATTCATGTAAACTACTCATTTTTTTTTTCAAAAATGTAAGCAGTTTTATCAAAGGTCTTTTAGGAGTCAGCGACATGACGAGGAGTGAGATGGTGACTGTGACAGTACATACTTTCTGCGTGCGGAGCTTAGAAACCAGCGGGAGAAGACGCACCAGAAGCAGACAGCCTCAGGGGTGGAGGTAGCACACTGCCCTGAACAGCGCTCCAAAGGCAGAGCTCGGCAGTCCAGGGTGGATGAGAGACGCATTTGGCGAACACTTGATGATCATAAATGGTTTCTCTGTGCTGTCTTTGGGCTTGTAAAGATGTTGGAGACTTAGGGAGGCAGGCCGGAGGGAGGGCAAGTTAGAGAGAATGGATGGGGAGCAGAGTTTCAAGGCAGTGCATAACACAGAAACTGCATAACACAAAACAGTGCATAACGCAAAAGCTGCATAACACAAAACAGTGCATAACGCAAAAGCTGCATAACACAAAACAGTGCATAACACAAAAACTGCATAACACAAAACAGTGCATAACACAGAAACTGCATAACACAAAAATGCATAACACAAAACAGTGCATAACACAGAAACTGCATAACACAAAAACAGTGCATAACATAAAAACAGTGCATAACGCAAAAACTGTGTAATGCAAAAACAGTGTATAACACAAAAACTGCATAACACACACTGCATAATGCAAAAAGAGTGCATAACACAGAAACTGCATAACACAAAAACAGTGCATAGCACAGAAACTGCATAACACAAACTACATAACGCAAAAATAGTGCATAGCACAAAAACAGTGTATAACACAAAAACAGTGCGTAACGCAAAAACAGCACATAACACAAACTACAGAACACAAAAACTGTGACACAAGGTGGCCACAGGGAAAAGTAAAAAGCAAAACTTAATTCGAGCAGCATAACAGATACGTCCTTGAATATATCAATGTATATAGAAGAAGAATATTTGTTATGACTGCCATTTTCAAGAAAAGCTATTGCATTTTCATTCTACTCGATTCTGTAAAAAAAGGGAGGAACACAATAAATTTACTGATTTTTATTAACATGGTGAAAGGACTTTGCTGTTCGAAGCTTTATATGTCATTTTCATGTCAATCACTTTATCCAGAATGTTGGATAAATGAGATTATTGCCTACATTCATACAAATATTTAAGAGCAGTATGAATATTGATTACAAAAGCATTACTAGATGGAAAGACAATAGACCTTGTTTTCTGGTTCTACCCAGTAGTCAGAGCCTGGATATATCATAATTGAGAAATAATGGATTGCTTACTCTTCCTCTTCTTCTTATTACTATTTGTCATATTATTTGTTTATCTTTGGGTCCAAAACTGAAATGTAAGAATCATTCAGGCAGAGACTTCTTCTTCTCTCTTCATTGGTATATACCTCTTTACAATATTGCCTGGCATATAACAGGCACTCAGTAAGTACTGAATGAATGCATAAATGAGATACTCACACAAGTATATAATTACAAACTGTGATACACAAATGTGATAAATGCAAGTACTTTCAAAACAATAACTATTCCACATATGCAAGGTGAGGCTTTTTATTTGAATTTTAGAAAAAATATAGTCTGCCAGAAGATAACCTGTTTACTTTTTTGTATTGGTTGCTTTCTCTCTCAACCTTTAAATTTTCAATTACAGTTGACATCCGGTATTATCTTATATTAGCTTTGGGTATACAGCGTAGTAGGTCGACATTTATATAATTTGCAAAGTGATACCCCCGATAACTCTAGCACTCACCTGACACCATACATAATTGTTACAATATTATTAACTGTACTCCCTATGCTGTACTTTACACCTTTGTGACTTTTTTGTAACAACCAATTTGTACTTCTTAATCCATTCACCTTTTTCACTGAGCCACCTACCCCCCTTCCATCTGTCGACCATCAGTTTGTTCTCTGTTAATAAGTCTGTTTCTGTTTTGTTTGTTTATTTTGCTCTTTAGAGTCCACATATAAGTGAAATCATTTGGTATTTGTCTTTCTCTGTCTGACTTATTTCACTTAGCATAATACCCTCTTGGTCCATTCATATTGTTGCAAATGGTAAGATTTCATTCTTCTTGTATGGCCCACTAATATTCCATTGTATATGTATACAACATATTCTTTATCCAGTTGTCTATTAATAAGAAAAAGAGAACCCTGATTACCTGTGGGCGGGAATGCAAATTGGTGCAGCCACTATGGAAAACAGTATGGATGTTCCTCGCAAAATTAAAAGTAGAACTACGTTATGACTTAGCATTTCCACTTCTGGTTGCTTTCTTTTTGAACATTTACTTCCTAAGTGTTTCTGTTCCTTTATACCCATGGTGTGTAATATTGAGTTCTACTTTTATGGTTCTGTAACCCTCTCGAACCCAGATCAATTACTTTCTGCAACAGAGATTCTTAACTAAGGTCAGTGAAGCTTTGTGAAATCTGTTGTTGCCTCCTGAGGCCTCGTGTACTTCTAAAAATGTATGCCAAGTGTGGTGGCCCCTGTGCATTTTACTGAAAGGAGTTCCCATCTGAAAGTCAGTTCCCACTGACTTTCATCAGTGTCAGAATACAGATCCCCCCACCTCCGCAAGTTTAAGAATAATTGCTCTAAAACATACTTTTTCTTTTACTTTTTGTTGCTTTATTGGGACTTGAGATGGTTTCATTTTTCTCTTAATTTTCATGATATTTTGGTCCTTTAAACTGTTTACTGTTTGTCCCCAGTGTGTGGTATTCTTGGACTATTGTACGCCTCTGATCCCAGCCCTTCTCTCTCTTCTCTCTTTTGTCTGGCCAACAGTGTGGGGATGTGCCAACTGCAGGGTTGTGCTATCCAATCCTTCTGGGACCTTTACTTCTCCATGCTACCCCAATGACTACCCTAACAGCCAGGCTTGCATGTGGACCCTCCGAGCTCCCACCGGCTATATCATTCAGATAACATTTAATGACTTCGACATTGAAGAAGCTCCCAATTGCATTTATGACTCATTATCCCTTGATAATGGAGAGAGCCAGAAGAAATTTTGTGGAGCAACTGCCAAAGGCCTATTGTTTAACTCAAGTGCGAATGAGATGCATGTGTCCTTTTCAAGTGACTTTAGCATCCAGAAGAAAGGTTTCAATGCCAGCTACATCAGAGGTATGTAAACCAGAGACGGTGCCAACCTTCTGCTTTCATTTAGCATGTTCTACAATAAACATGGGACCAGGAGACAGTTATGCTCTTTTATGTGACTGTGAATGATTAGGATTACAATTTAAGGGCAAGAAGTTGTTAATATTCTCTGAGTACTCTCATTAGCAATATAGAGCTACCAGATCAAAAAAATCTGGTTACAGTAGAGCTGAATTCTTTTATATTGTTTATATGCAGAACATTTAAAGGCTGCTTGGAAGACACTAGGTTTTCCACAGCTAATAATTAAAATGTGTAATTTTAACATTTCTCCCCTGAATGTTTAAAACATTCCTATTTAGAAATCATTTTCTTTTAAGCTTTTAAGATGTTACCCTTTTAAGGGACTATGTTAGAAGACAAATATAGAAAATTAGCACATAAATTTAAAAAGCTATTTATTAAGCTAATAAAAAACATAATCTGAGAAAAGCCTCCTGATAAATGGCAATTGAAGGAAAGAAAATATATTTTTATCAAATATATTTCCCAGATTCTGACATATCTTAACATTTAAATAATTCTATTCTTTCTAAAATCTGTCCTTGCTTAAGGAAGACACAAGCTTCAAAACTAAGATGCAGTTACACATTTATTTTCTCTTGAGCTTATTTTCTCTTAAGTGGATGTCATGTACTAAGGAAAGAAACAAAAAGAAAGGCACCACAATGAAAACGACTTCATTGTAAATTGTGTTTTTGGTGGCAGGGTTATTTACTGTTTTTAATTGACATTAGATATATGTATGGTTAGTTGAAACATATGCTTTAATTTTTCAAATAATGTTTTAAATATTATAAAACATTATAGGAAATTTGAAAATAGAAAAGAAGCAAATTGCAATTATCTATTTATATACCCCGGGCATAACCACTAATAAAGTGTTGATGGATTTGTTTCCTTCTAACCTTTTTATTTTAATAACATAAGTAGAACATTGGGATCATATTGCATAGATACCTGTGGGTAAAAAGACCTGTAAACTGTTTTATATTTAAAAAGTAAACTAAAATCCCTAATTCTATTACATTTCATTATGGATTTTTAACTAGAATATTTTTATTAAAATGACATTTTTTTCTATAGACCTGTTCTTGGTGTATATTAAAATATATTCAAAGTAGCATTCGTATGAAACCAGTATTAAAGAGTATTTTTAAGGAGAGCTGTTTTCTCTCAAATTAGTTCATGATATTTCACGATGTCTTTATATTAGCATAGGGCTAAATTCATTGTATTATTTAATCATTTTACTTATGTCACAGAAAGAGTAGACTAATATATGTTTATTTTGAATTTCTAATGCATGTAAGAAATCAGTACTAGCTATAGTTTGACAATAGCTTCGACACGGCCCTAGTGCTTTGCAGGTATTAACTTACTCAGTTCCTGTTGACCCCCTGTGTAGCAGAAGCCATTGTCCTTCATTTTGCAGATGGAAAGACTAGAGTAGAACCAAGTGGACAGCGTCCCAGGTCCCACAGCATAGTGGAAGAGCCCGAATAGGAAGCTCCATCAGCTGCCCTTTGAACCCCTGCTCCTTATTATCCCTCACAAACTAGCTCAAGTGAAAGGAAATAGTGCTTAAAATTCCATGTGTGTGTGTTGTTTTCCTAGACTCCCTATCCTCAGTGGAACTGTCTTTGCCTTTGTTCCTGAAATACCCTCGTGATTGGGAACATGAGTAGGATGTGGGATGTCTGGAGGGGAGAAAGGCAGTTGTTAATGAAAGATAGAACTGTTAGTTATTCTATGTAGAAATTATTTGAAACGAACATATTTTTGAAAGTCTTAAGTATGAATAGAGCTTTCCTGAAACTGGTCGTTTTTTTAATTATGTTTTTTCTTTCAGTTCAGGGATGAAGAAGAATACTTGTTATTAACGTGGCTGTTTGTACCTCAAACGTTTAGGTGCGAGGTCCAAACATGGTTAGAGTTACACGGGTGGGATTTCTCATTGCTATTATATGTATGGGTTGGTGATGGGGGGTAGCTGGGCAGCGAAAGAGGGGCGTGATTGGGCAGGAGTCAGTCAGTGGAGCGGTGGAGGGTTGAAGGTATCAGACATTTTGCATCTCATTAGTCCATATCTGAAATTAACATGTTTTATCTGTTGGTATGTTTTGTCCTAGTGGCTGTGTCCTTAAGGAATCAAAAGGTCATTTTACCCCCGACACTGGATGTGTACCAGGTGTCTGTTGCAAAAAGCGTCTCTATTCCGGAGCTCAGCGCTTTCACACTCTGTTTTGAAGCAGCCAAAATTGGCAAAGATGACGGTGAATGGATGTTGTTTTCCTACTCCGATGCATCCTTCACACAACTGCTCAGCTTTGGAAAGGCCAAGAGTGGCTACTTTCTAGCTATATCTGGCTCCACATGCTCACTGAACAGTGCGCTACCTGTGAAGGGAAAAGAAGACATTTTCACAGAAAGCTTTGAGCAGCTCTGCATCGTTTGGAATAATTCTTGGGGCTCTGTCGGTGTAAATTTCAAAAGAAATTACGAAGCAGTTCCATGCGATTCTACCTTTAATAAAGTTATTTCTGGGAATGGGAAATTGTTGTTGGGCTCCAATCAAAATGAAATTGCCTCTCTAAAAGGGGACATTTATAACTTTCGACTTTGGAATTTTACCATGAATTCCAAAATCCTCTCCAACCTCAGCTGTAATGTAAAAGGGAATGTGGTCGACTGGCAAAATGACTTTTGGAATATCCCAGCCCTAGCTCTGAAAGCTGAGAGCAACCTAAGCTGTGGTAAGTCTGTGGCCTGTTCACTCTTTTTTTTTTTAAAGCATTACGTTGTGAATGTTTGTCAACAAAAATATACCTGTGTGTACCTACATATATGCGCATATAATTACATTATACAATTATGTATGTATAATAACTACACACATGTATGTGGTGCGTGTTTGTGTATATACACATACACACACATACAGAGTTAGCATTAATGAGATCTTTTAGTTTTTAAAATGTTATCTGCTCAGCTTCTTCATAGTATACATTTGATTACAAGCCATGTTTTTTCAATCAAAGCTTTTGGTCCTATCATTTTTAAGTTTTCTTTATGTCATAAAATATTACACATTTTATCAGCAACAAACATAGTTATAAATATTATGCCTCAAATAGAAATGTTAACACCAGGCCTGAAACAAAAGAAACTAGTAAGTTATTATTTTAAATTACATAGATGATGCAGTAAAAAGCTGATTTTTATCATCCTGGAATGAAATTTCCATTACATTATTTAAATAAACCACCACCACCCAAAAGCATGGTATTTACTCAGTCAGTATTAAATATCACAACTGTCCATTCAAGGAATATCTTTGATAATCAGAAATTATTGTTTTCTTTTTTTTCCTTTATTGATTTTAGAGAGAGAGGAAGGGAGAGGGAAAGAAAGAGAGAAACATAGATGAGAGAGGACATCAGTTGGCCGCCTCCTGCATGCCCGCCCCCCACTGGGGATTTGGCCCACAACGTGGGCATGCGCCCTGACCGGGAATGGAACCGGTAACCTCTTGGTGCATGGGTCGATGCTCAACCACTGAGCCACACCAGCCAGGCAAATTATTGTTTTCTTTAAACTATTTTTCTATTTATTTGAAAATGAGCTTTGTCATTTGTTTCAAATCTTTTTAATTGTTTTTTGAGAGACTTTAAATCGATGTTATTAAAAGTACCTAAATGCAAACAATGCTTAGAGAAATAATTCTGTGGGACAAAATTATATTAAAATAGACTTTTATCAAATATTCTCTAGGTATTTAAGTTAATATTGGAGGTTCTTATTTTACTACAGGACAAATCAAATACAAAATTTGAAAGTTTCATTATCACTTTTGAATATTATATGACTAAATCTAAGGTGTTGGTAATATATACTTTTAGTCACAGAAATAATTCTCATTAAAAGAGAGAAGAAGGGGCCTGATATTAAAAAGTACTTTGTATGTGACTGTGGAAGAGATTCTATCAGAAATGTGTTCCCAATACTTTCAGCAAAGTAAGACGCCCTGTGAAGACCTGAGGCCACCTCCCCAGTTTCTGTGACCTGTGTTTGCCCCTGGCCTGAGGAACTCCCGTCACCCCTCTGTGTGGGAACCCCTCTTGCATGTGGTCACGGTGTTCCTGCAGATGCTGGGAGGCTGGTAATGATGTCATTCGAGAGTTATTTCCTTGTGGGTTGTTGGAAAGCGGGTAAACCACCACCCTGTTCCAGGAGGAGACTGTGGAACGTTGTCAGAGCTAACGGTGCCCCCAGCTGCTCTCGCTTCTGAGGAGCTGCAGGACACCTCAGGGACCCCTGAGAAGGCTTTTACTCAGGGGGGACCTGAGAAGATCAAGTGTGTGTGGCGTGGGATGGTGAACGGGAGGAGAGGACAGGGGACCACCTCCTACATCCTTCGTTAGGGGCCTGTTTTCACCAAATCCTCAGTCATTATTAAAAGTCATAATATGGACCATTTAACATTCATCCTTTTGTGGGACAGTATTTGAGGACTCTGACAACAAACAAACAAACAAACAAACAAACAAACAAAACAACAAAAAATTTGGCTAGGTGTATTAGTAATTGCTAATACTAATTTACACGGTATACATAGATTGAATTGAATACATGGATTGTGTTCTAGGAACTGTGTTAAGCACTTTACACGTGTTAACTCATTTTCTACAACATAGATCTTATGATGTGGGTTTTATTATTTACCTCATTTTGCAGAAGAGAAATCTGATGCCCAAAGAGATTAAGGAATTTAACCAATGTCACTTCGTTATGAAGTGGCCGAGCTGGGAACTGAATCCAGAAAGTTTGGTTTTAAGCCATGCATTTTTAACCAATGTAAGTTAAACTGTTCTTCAGAATAAGCAGGACTAGAAAACAGGACATAGTATCAGAGCAGATGAGCTAGTGTTTACCAGGTGAGATGTATGGAGGTCTCTTCTGGCCAGAGTGCCTTCTGTGGGGAGACGGGGGCTTTCCAGGGTGTTCAATGGTATTTGTTTTAAACAAAATCAATAAGGTTTCTTCCCTACAGTGCTTCTTGGATGCCTTAATATAATAAAATGTGAGGGTCATAGTATGTAAGAATTCCTGAGTTTCTCTTAAGAAATCCTGTAGACCAGGGATTGACGAAGTTGGAGGGCCTTTGGAAGGCTGTTTTCATAAAGCTTTATTGACACACAGCCATGCTATGAATTTTTTGTTCGTTCGTTTGTTTCCCAAGCCTTAAGACTACCAGAATACATCAGATCCGTGCCAATGTAGCATGGTCAGCTATACATTTTCAAAATGATTTCATTCAAAGGAGTGGCACAAGCTTACCTAATCAATGATGGGAATTCCTTAAATTTTTATAGCGGTCTTGACATTCCAAGATGACTCTAAACATCCACATTGCACAGATATCCAGAGCTGAGTTTCAGGAATCATAGCAGGCGCGGGAGAGGGAGTTTCCTGCCGTTTAATCATCAGCTTTGGGAGTTGAAGAACCAGGTTACTTATTAACTGGCAGGAAATACCTGTAACACAGATTATGTTTAAGTTTATTAGCTCAGCTAAACTTCAAGAAATGAAAAAAAGAATGCCCTATTAACATGTTAACCTTCCCCTTTTCCCAGAATTTGGTGGCTTGCTGTTTATGGTACCAGTAATTTCCGAAAACTAATAATCGGTACAATAACCAATGGGAAAATAGAATTTCATGCCTAACGTCCTGTTGGCCTGACAGTGTCTGTTAAATATGAACTTTTATTTTAGAATCAACTTGTGATGGAAAATGAATAGATTTTTTTCCTAAAGGTCTATTGCTAAGTATATTTTCATACGAAAATAAGATAGAACAGAACTAACTACATTTAAACGTCCTGTCATGTGTTTCAAATATGAAATATGCTAGCCTTAATAAAATCAATAAATGTTTCAACAATTTCAGAATTGAACTATTTTGTTTTCCTAAACTATTCTAAGCATACTTGGGGGAATATACCTTAATTAAGAAATTTTCATCAGGTTTTCTTAAAAAACATGGTTAATCTTGTTAGTCTTTTTCAGAAAGAAATACTTTATTTAGTAGCACTTTTTTATTTTATAGCATCATTCTTTTTCTTAAAACACTTTTTATTAAACCTATCCAGTTTTATAACCTCCATGGATAGACAATTTTCTTCACTGACTCTTTAATTATAGGTGCAAGTATTTGCCTGTGTTGTGATTCAAGTTTAGATACTGGCTGGTGTCCATCAATTTTCCCAAAGAACAGACAGTGCCTTCTCTACCAGTTTTATTTATTTTACTGCTGACTGCTCTTTCCTGAGGTGTCGTACAGTATAACTCAATGAATAGTCTAGGTTCAAAAAAATTACATTTATTTAACTAGCATTAATAAGCACTTTCATTTATTAACATTTATCCTTTTGTGGTTATAGAGATAAGATACAATTTATAAGTACCTGACTTTGTTTTTCTTTTCTAGAAATGTTTGGCTCTGTACCAACTTTTGTTTTCATTGTAAAATTTTGCACTTAATTACTAAAGCATCATCAACTCTTGGATTCCTACCCTTCCATTTTCAGTGACTACAATTCCTGATGGTTCTGAAACTCTGTCTGGTTCACTGTCGGCTCCTTCCTTCCATCTCTAACAAATTTTTGATTAGCATTTTTAGATTGCTAAATTATATATAAATAATAAAGATAAAATTACTTTACCTTTACAAAGGCCTTTATTATTTGGAGAGGCTTAAACTCTTTATGAGCATATATTTATTGGAAATCTATTTACTTATGGACAAATTGTAAAATTCAGCTTAGAAAGAAAGAACTGAAAGGAATTGTTTCCCCCATGTAACTCATGCTAAGGGCTTGTTGCTGTCGTCCTTTATTTGGATGATCATTAACTAGGGTATGAGATGAATTTTTGACTGACTACACATCAATGTATTTTTTTTTACCACAACTCATGTGAATAAATAGTGATGTCCTTTCAGTAGCATAATTTTGGAAGAACAACAGATAGGAAAAAAAGACTTACAATTTCTCATCAACTGCCCATTTTCAGTGATTACTTTTCCCCCCAAAGAAATCTGGCTCTAAATTTTGCAGTTAATATTAAGTAAATACCTTTAAACACCTTTGTGGTATGAGTAACAATCAGGGAACATACATAGGTTACATTCTGAAAACAGTCCCTTGATGATACAGACATTATCATTATCCAGGAGGGAGAATTGTCTTGCCTTACTTAACAGTCTTCTGGTTTGTAATCTGTTGGCACAGGAAAACTGATAGCAATAATGACTTTTTATGCAGATATGCTGAGCATGGAACTAGTTAGAAATAAAAAAAAATATGCATGCACTTTTTATATTTCATGTATTTATATCATTTGGTGTTTTTGTAAATTAAGATTTTATTTATCAATGTAATTTCCCTCTAATAAGCCTCATCACTTATATTTGTACAGTTACCCCCCCAAAATTATTAAATTTTGAATCATCATAAAATAGTGTTTATTGAGTATGAATAAAGCAGCGCCCATTGCTAAATTTCAGGTGCCTGAAAGGAACAAGAGACAACTATTGAGAAGTAAATGTTACAATTTCCCATGAAGAAGTGGCCATTATGGAAATTTATACTTGTTCCTATTCAGTGACACCAGTAAAATGTTCAAGAAAATTGTCAGCTATCTTCCTGTAAATCATAACTCTTCTGGTTTTCTTTCCTTATTCCCACCTCTGAGTTCTTTAAAGACTGCAGTGGAAACTAGTCAGTCATAAAAGGTCTTTCCCAGGAGGGGCCCCTGGTCTCCTTTGTCTTCCAGGGAGACCCTGTATCGGTGCCGGAGCGCCCGAGCCCTGGCTGCCAGCACTGTGTGTAACTGAGAAGCCCAGGACCTCCATCCCAGGGTCTCCTCTCTCGCCTGTTACGGTGGCTGAGATTTCCTCACTCATTTGGAGTTTCGAAGGCCTTTTAACTTTTAGAAGTTCCTTACGCATGTATAAGTACCTAAAGGAAAAATGGGGTCCTACAAAACAGGGGCATCAGGGAAGTGGGAAACATCATGGGCAGAAAACTTTCAAGATAAAAGTTGACCTCAGTTCTGCCCGAGGCTGACCTCCGCTTCTGCCTCCTCAAATGTTCTTTGTCCTGGCACACTTGCCCAAGCTTCCCATCTTTGCAACTCCTCCGCTCTCTCTCGGGTCCTTTCTCAGTAGCTGAGCTTCCTCTTTTTGCCTTCACCCCTCAGTCAAGCGTTGGCAGTCCAGAATTCATCGTTCCCACACTCCTAAAACTAATTTCTGTAGAGCTGTTACCCAAAATCCCACTGCAAAGTTAAAGGTCTTCTCGGTCTTTATTATTCTTGGTCTTTCTGGCACACTTGATGTTGCCACACCCTCTGGGAAACTTTCTTCACTTTAGTTCTGAAAAACCACCTTCTACAGGAGCTATTTTTACCTTTCCAGGTCTATAACTCTTTTAAAAAATCTGATCCTAAAGACAGGAATATCTAGAGTTACATCCTTTTCTCAAATCTTTACTCCAGCTCCAGTGACCCCAGACCCAGCTATAGCTTCTGTTGATTATTCCCTGGCTAGACCTCTTACAAAGTCACGCACCTGCCGTGTATACAGATGTGTCACATTACTGGACTTACTGGTTAGCCCACCTCACCTAAGTGTGCTCTTCTTCAGCTATTTCTATCTCCTTCTAAGAGATTGTTGTATACCAATTTCTCAAACTAGAAATCAGAAAAATATCTTCTCTTTTTTCCGTTCCAAAAAGTCACTGAATCCTATACGTTATCTTCAAATATCTTGTCTTTATCTCTTTCTGTCTATTGTCCTTTTACTCATAGTATCAACTTTGAATCATTAGTATTATTCATGCTTCTTGTATATCCCCTCTTTTAATTGGTTATGGAGCCTTAAAGGTGTTTTCAAGCATAAATCTAATTTTCTCACCTAGCTCCCTTTCATTTTTTCCCCATTTCCTTTAAGAAAGAGTTCAAAATGTGAGCAGTTGTTCATATAGCATCAGTAGTTTATTCAGAAAAGCTTAAGCACCCACCTGCTATGTGGATGGGACACAGCATCGTTAGAAAGAGTTCCTGCGCTCATGGTGCCCACATTCTACAGGGCCCTTCTCCATTACCTGCACATCTGACCATTTCCACCAGTGTTCTACAGATTTCCAGCAATGCCATGACCCTTGGGTACCCAGGTCTTTTCATGGCTTTCTTGGTATATGTTTCAGAATTCTGTCTGCTGGAAGTATCTATGTCTATTCTCTTATCCCATGATCATTAAGTGACCCCATCATCTTCTTCACAGTTCTTTTTAGTAGTGGATTGCACCCTTCTCCCTTCTCCCTTCTCACCAAACTGCTGGTCATGTCCTCCTTTGGGCTACTAAATACTTGGATCTCCTAGAGAACTGGGAAGCTATTTCGCACTTATGAGTCTCTGAGAGCAGAAACATTATCTCAAAGTATTACTCTAGCCTCTGTGCCTCATACACTATAAAAAGTCAGTGAATTTTTATTAAATGATCATGTTAAGGTCTGTAATGAGAGCTTCATACCAGCTAACCCCCCAGACTGTCCATAGGGTTGGGTCTTTCTGTGGTAACACCATTTCTTGCTTGGGCCAGGTGCCTGAGGCAATCAGGAATTGCAGAAACCATGACTCCCAAGATGCTACGAAACTGGGACCACTTTCTGTTTCTGCACACCACTTACCTGAGCATCTTGTCACTCATTTGTTTTGTACCTGCTCTACCTGCAGGCACTATTCCCTTAGGAAAGTTTGGAAAATGTTTAAACATTTGAATGGAACTGCTATGATAGAAATGTCCTTTTAAAATAGAATATATGTATTTATGTGTGTGTGTTTGCATTTATTCCATTTTTATTCATAGTGTAATATGCTCTGTGAAATGTTTAACCCATCATCCTCCACCTCATACTTCATAAAAGTCTGTTCATTGTCAGAGGGAGACTTTGTGCAGCAGAAAACCCACTACTACCACTAGAAAATCCGCTAAAACTGGTTTCCTACTGAGGAGGAGTCAGTAAAAGCTTGAAAAAGAAAGAAGACTCAGAGACCAACTTGAAATCACAGAAATGTGTTTTTGGAATGGCAGATGGTGTATGTTGGAGCCTAGAAACTGAAAATGTGCATTTTATGAGTATTAATTGCCAAGTTTACTTTTGAAAGTTATCTTTGATGTTTATATTATTCATCTGTACGAATTTCCACAAGAGCTGTATAATTTATTATGTGAAAAGGCCCTGAACTTTTTACACAAACTTTTCCTTTCATGTGTGGATGGCCAATAAATTTAAAGATTTTGAGGGATATTTCAGTGACTTGATTTTACATTTGCAGAAATTAAGACACAAAGACTTTAAGAGACTCTGTAAAGGGTGGAGTATTACTGGTGGATGCTTCTAGGGCTGCTCCTATTATAACAAACATATGATTCATGATTTTTTTTTTTCCTGCATAATATTAAATCTTAAGTCAAACTGGTAAAATCCTCTGTGTTGATCAAGGTTCCTACCTGATCCCGCTCCCAGCAGCAGAACTAGCCAGCTGTGCAGATTTGGGGACCCTCTGCCAAGGTAGGGAGCCAGCGTCGTCTTCTGGAGTCTCTGTTTTGTGCTTGCTGTTTTGGATAATGTATTTTTCATTGTTTTGATTTGTATCTTAATTTTCTCTTGGGAAGCCAGAAACCAGCAAAACTGAAGAATTTCTGGATGTGTTTAGTTGCGTGGGTGCACAGTACGTGCAGTGTGGAGAAAGAACGCATTCACAGGCTGGGCGACCACATTTCCACAGAGCACTGAGTTTTGTAGATGTGAATGATTACACGCTATTAACCAAGGGTTGATTTCATTTTTTCCCTGTATGTCTCCTCAAGAATAGTGCAAAGGTCCAGTATAAATACAGTCATACAATGTTTTGAAAAAGTATTCCTGTCTAAAAAACAAGGGGGAAAAACTAAGTTGAATATTCAGTTAAGCTTAAGACAAGGCCATGATGTAATTTATGAGGTGCAGTGTAACTTAAATATACGATAAAAATAGTTAGCCCTAGCTGGTTTGACTCAGCAGTTAGACTGTCGGCCTGCAGACCAAAGGGTTGTGGGTTCGATTCCCGGTCAAGGGCATGTACCTGGGTTGCGGGTCTGATCCCTGGCCAGGGTCATGTGGGAGGCAACCAATAGATGTGTCTCTTTCACATCAGTGTTTCTCTCTCTCTCTCTTTCTCCCTCCCTTCCACTCTGTCTAGAAAGTCAATGGAAAAATATCCTCGGGTGAGGATTAACAACAACAAAATAGTTATACTAAACAAATATTAATGAAATTTATTAATTATGATAATGCATAACGACTATATTATGGTCAGCATTCTACTTATATATTACAGACTAAACAGTTGCATGCTAAATAATACATAAAGTCCTGTAAGTTTTTAAGTAATAACATATTTTGCTTTAATTTTATTATTGCTGTTCCTAATTTCCCGTGACCCATTTTCATTCATTTATTCTCTTAAATACTTCTTTGTGAAGTAGCATGTTCTATGTACCACATTAAGAATCACGATCATGCCTTTTGTAAAAGCTGGATTTCTCGTTGGGAGGAACGCAGCCTGGCCCTGGCCCGTGTGGCCCCGCGTAGAGCGCCGGCCCATGGACCAAAGGGGGAACGCAGCCTGGCCCCGGCCGGTGTGGCCCCGCGTAGAGCGCCAGCCCATGGACCACAGGGGGAACGCAGCCTGGCCCTGGCCCTGGCCCGTGTGGCCCCGCGTAGAGCGCCGGCCCATGGACCACAGGGGGAACGCAGCCTGGCCCTGGCCGGTGTGGCCCCGCGTAGAGCGCCGGCCCATGGACCACAGGGGGAACGCAGCCTGGAAGTGACGGGTCAGCAGTGAGACCAGATAACAGAAACCGCAGGTGCTTTCTGTGGTTCAGTGTGGAAGCAGGGCTGGGACTCAGTGTTATCTCGTTTCCCTTTCTGACACCTTATTCCTGACGTTATTATTAAGGAATGCCTTATGAAATAAAATTAATTAGTTTCCATGAACTCATTGTAGTTTAAAAGTAATTATATGACACAGAAAAAAACAAAAAACAACAATTTTGCCTAGTTCAAGATCTAAAGGTTTTTAAAAATTATTTATTTTTTCTTTTAATCTGAGATACCTATAGTACTGATGCCTTGGGTCACAGGACCAGATGCCCAGCTAATTGTCCCCCTGTCCTAAATGACCAATTTTTTTTCTGTTTTTTTTTTTTTTTTTTATGCATTTTGCATTAAAATAAATAGTACAGAATGTTCACAATTTCTTTTTAAAAAGACTTCAAAAAGAATCCACATTCTTAAGTATTACATATCACGTTGGAATGGAAACTTTTTTAGTTAAGAATGCATATTTTGAAGCAAGCAATTCAATATATTCTAAAGACCCTTAGAAGGTAATTCTTCGTGTAATCAGTTAAATGTTTTAAATTTAGGTAATTAAAAAAAAGAGAGACTTAACAAATGGTTATGGTACCTATGAATGTACATTAATACAAGTGTACTGTTAGGAGCAACTAAAAGAAAATCATGTGTGTAGTGTTTTTACTACTTATACAGGGGCTGGCTAAAGTATGTTTACAGTTGTTTTTATGGAAAAAGACATGTAGGTTATAATTATTACAATAGTTTTATTAACACTGTGTTTCACACACTCGCAACTGTAAACCTACATTTGCCCCACCCTGTATAGCTCCTTCAGATTTCCTTAAAAAAATATTTTCAGAGCATTACATAAGGATTTAATCTTTGAGAGTTTTAATAACATCAGAAGCATATCTATGACATAATGCTTTGAAAATGTCTCCCCCATAAGGCTTGTCCTTGTGAAATCCATTTTGTCCATCACTGTTTTAGTCAAATTATTGGGATCTGTACATTTTATTCTTGCATTTTGCTTTACTTTTTTCTTCTCAGGGAGAAATATGTTTTCCTCTGAGATTTTGTCTCTCTGTTCTCAGTGAATCAGGAAGACTGACTTCGTGTAGATCATTTTAAGCTGATGGGTGCTGTATATTCTGCCTTCTCTGACTTTTTCTTTTTACAAACTCAGGAAACTGAGTTCTGCGAGATTTATTTATTCACAGTGTGTGTCAGCCTGTTGACGGCAGACCTAGGTCTAGAATCGAAATGTTCCTTCTCCATTCCCTTTGTGCCAGGTCCACACTCTTGCAGTGTGGTACCAAAGGCCATGTGAACTGAGTCTTAATGTGCCATAGAAAGCATCACTTATTTTATTTGTAACCTTGGAGCCTGTTGTAGTTAGTGGAAAGAAACAGCTTTCATGCTTTCTTCATGTATTGTCATGAATTAATTATAGATTGCTTATCCCTATTAACTGTCATGGGCTCCTTGCAAAATTACATCTTCTCATCTTTATTAGCAGCTACTGTAAGTACTCCTAGTCCTGCACCACCTACTGTCTCCACTAACATGCCTGTTACTAACAGAACCGATAAACAAAAGAATGGTAAGACTTTATTACCTTTTATATTTGTAGTATGTCTGATGTGATGAAAAAAGTTGTATTCTAAGGGTGAAAATATCTAAGGATCCAGCAAAGTTTTGGTTATTGTAATCAATTGGTACATTTGCAAGGCTAGTAAAATAAATAAGTATCACTTGGTTGTCTTGAGTTCCTTGTTTTAACGACCAGTGGAATGAGTTCATTTTCAGTACCACTCCTCTGTACTTGTAGCCAATGTTTCTTTAAAGGAACTTTTATGAGAAATGCATTTAATTAAAAGGAATGAATTTATATTATGCTAGAGATCTCAGAAAAAATTATTCGTGGTATTTTTGTCAGGAAGCTTCTTTCTAAAGGATTCTATAATTTTTAAAAAAAAATGAATTTTAGTAATTTAACTTTTCACTAAAGCCAACTTTATGTTTAGATATTTGTAAAAATCACTTTGCATGGTAATAATTTGCTCTCTGTTTTTATTTGTTGAAGAATAATGGTTAGAATAATGGTTGGAATAATGGTTATCAAATAAATCATAAATCAATTTTTGACTGAAAAAAACTTCAAGTAACTACCAATACACCTTTTGCCTATTTTTCATATATACTTTTCTATATATATTATTTGTAATTTGCAAATATAGCAGTTATATAAAATAAGAAATGAGCTGGGGAAATGCCCGGTGAGTAGAACTCTTGGTTAACCTGATTTCTATATGAATGACATACATAGCCTTTTGGTAATTCAAAGTAAGTGATCTCAGTTTCTTCTGAAAAAGAGAAATTCCAATCAGGTGACCACACCATTGCCTCAAATACAGTCATATTCTCAAATATGAGGTATTAGAAACAAAGGAATTTCTCAACTTCAATCATTTAAGTTATGAGGCCAAGACATCTGCAATATATCACCAGGGACCAAAATCCAGAGACAAGAAACCCACAGAGTTCATTTTTTCTTTTGGTTTTGGGGTTACATCAACTTCCTCTGTGAGGACATTTAAATTGGAAGTATGGAATATTTTACATGAAATGTAAAGGGTTATAAAGACATCGATTCAGGGAAGTGTTTATGGTTATTCTGGTAGTTACACCAAGGAGATTTATGATGGAGCAGAAATTCCAGCAGCCCCAAGAAAGCAACAGCAGCAGAAGTTTCCAGTGCACATTTCACATGGATGCCAGCCAGCAGATGGGAATATTATAATTCTCACTAAGTATTTCACTCTTTGTATGAACATACAAAGAGCCTCTGTGGCATTTTCCCTCCAGGACTGGCACACCCTCTGCTGCCCAAGAACGTTTATGTGATGCTTAGAGCCCTTGACTTGGTGGAGTAGAGCTGTATTCACTCCATCATGTCATTTCTGACATTCTTGAAGAGAGCCTTGTTTAGTCCGTCTCTCTCTGCGTCATAACCTTTATTGGAGTTTCAACAAAGCAGGCAAATGTCAGAATCAGTTGATATGGTTTGACTTGACCACATTAGAGGAAAAGATTCTAATTCAGATGATTCTTGATAAAAATATAATCCTAGCATTTAAACATATTTAAAAATATTCATACATTGTCATGTAGTAGAAATATCCTCAAAATTGTGTACTCAAATTTGTGTACCATTTTTTTTTTTTTTTACCAAATCCTTGAACTACCTCTACTATCCATTTCATTTTTTTCTAAATTGACTCACTTTATTACTTAAACATTTTTATTTGTATGGGAAAATTAATATCACTATTATAAAATGAAACTATTTATTTTAAAATAGAAGGGAAAATAAATATAATGTAAATGTTGTTGTATTCTCCCTATATCTTACTGCTTTCTCACATCTCAGCACCCGAAGCCTTGATTATCTTTTTCAAAAGTGAGAGTAACAAAGATCCTCTATCTAATAAAGATAGATGGTAATCTAAATAAGATTTTTTTTTTTGATGTAGTCAATGTTGAAATAATCGAAAAGAGAATTACTTGTTCACCTTATGAATAGATGGGGTTCGGTCTTATGTCCTGGACTATGTAAGGTCATTCACATACTGTCAACAATTTCAGATACACTTTTTTTTATTCCTTGGGAAACTGATATAGTAAACTTTCTCAGGCCTGTGATCTGATAGACAGGATGTGGCAAAAGTAGGCTTACAGTTGTTCATATGGAAAATAATACAATAATTAATAATAATACAAGAATAAACTCTGTGTTCTGTGTACTCACAACTGTAAACCTCTTTTGCCCCAGCCTGTGTTAGAGAATCTATTTTTTCCACTGCAAGAAAGACAGGCACAACTATCAAATCTGCTTTTTACCTTGTCTGTTTTTTTTTTTTTTTTAACTCTGGGCTATCAAAGATCTTTACTAAGTTCATCAGTAATGCGGGGAGAGGGACTGAAATCCATTGACAATCAGACATATTTCTTCAATATATCAATTAAATTAAATGTGCTTTTCCAGCTTTTGTGAAATGTTCCTGTTTTTCTATGTCAAATTTTTTGTTTTTATTTGCAATAGGAGTTTTATCTGATACCTCAGATTATATACTAATACAATCTTATCTTTTAAGCTACTTTTCACAAACAGATATTTCAGGAACTAATGGATAATTATTTACACAAATAACTCCGCTTTTTCTATTACATTCCCAAGAAGATCTCTTTGACTAATTATAGTTTCCATTCAAAGTGGTATTATCTATGCTTGAAGCTTCACTGTAGTGCCACTGAAGATTCAACTTTGTGAGGTCAGCAACCCGAGGCAGGAACTAGCCTTGTTAGTCTTTATCATTATTTAAGTACAAATTAGAACACTGCTTCTAGTTTCTCACATATGTTTACTCAGATAAAAAATGTCCTCTCAGGATATGTGTATGGATCCAACAATCAGTCTAGCTGTACACGCCAGGTTCTCAAAGAAAGTGTGTGTGTCGGAGGAGCAGGACTCCTGTCATTACCACGAACTGGAAGATGGATATATTCTTAAATATTTTTTCCCTCAAAGAAATGTCTGTCATGAATTCTTCTGGCCTGGATGCCATTACTAGGACAATGCATTCATCTTTGGATGTCTCTGGAACAAATGCAGATTTGTGAAAAGCTTTTCTGTTGAGACACTGTGGGAGTTGCATCTTCCTGGGGACACAAGTGGACTGGAGCACGGCGTGGAGGAGCCTGCAGCCGTGTCTTAATTGTGCGTTTTCTGCACTGACAATGCTGAAGCCAGTTCTTTTGCTGCCGTTCAGAACCCCTTTCAGCAACCCTTCAATGGGCTTTTTAATTTTGCTTCGACAATTCACTCTTGGGCATTTCTCATGATTACTTGTTGACTGCATTATTCAAAATTGTGAAATAAGTTTGACAAGTAGCTTCTGCTGAGTAGTTTTCAGATAATTATTCAGAGAACCTGTAACACAAGATGCTAGTTTTTTTTGTCCTTTTTATAGTCACATATTTTATTTGTTTTAAGCCATATAACTTTAAGGAGAGTACTATATTTATAAATTGATTTAGGCTGCCTCAGATATTGGATGTCTTGCTCATTTATAAAAACAAGGAATTGAAAAAAAGTGAGGTAGGAAATAGTTAAAATTTAAAGAAAAGTATCTTAAATATTTGAATACTTCCACAAAATTTCAGAAATGTCAGTGATTAAAAACACTGATTTTTGGTATTTTGCAATATTTTACCAAGAAGGAAAGACTACTGCTGTTGGACAAACACATGCTTTAGGACTCCACCTAGTGGCAGCTTTTCAGTTCCTCTGCTGACATCCGTGAACATTCTCAGACAGGACCCTGAACTAAATATGGAATCTTGAACCTCTGCAATTTGAATTTCCTCTCAGTTATTCAGAATGTCCAGGTTTTGATATGATGAGATCTAGAGTGTAAAAAGGTGTTTTCAAAATCTGAATTATTTTTTAATTCTGGAAAAACATTCCTTTAGTAATTGGACTACAGTTTGCATTTTGGTAGATTTGGGAGTTTCCAGAGCCACACTTTTTGTACTGTCTCCCCAAAATCTTTATTAAATCTATTTCTCATGAGTATTTTAACTGTATATTTCCATGTTTTACCCAAGGCATGTTTATGCCAAAACATAAACATGAAGAAAGATAATTGACTATAATGGAGATTCAAATCATTGTTTTCTCGCAGTAACCTCCCATATTTTAGTAAGGTGCCCTTTAACATGTACCTAGAGAGATTTAGTAAATCTTGGCTGGTGAGTTTGAGGTGTGTGTGTGTGTGTGTGTGTGTGTGTGTGTGTGTGTGAGAGATACTACTTTAAAGATTGACCACAAAAGAAAAAAGCAGAACTTTCTCTGACATTGTTTTCTTTTTAAAGCAAGCTGGTACAATTGAAATTCTTTCTCCAAATATTATTTCTACCCCTTACTTTGGTACTAATGACTACATTTATGGAATTTTGATGAAAAGTCTAGTGAAATCCAACCCAGTAACTTAGTAGAAGTAAATACTTAACTGGGGAAGGGATTGGAAGGAAAGGGAGAGTACATACGTTAAGCCTGTTCTTTTCCAAGTTACCACCTGCACATTGTCTCATTTGCTTTCACATACCAAACTCTGTATAATGTACCAGAAAAGGATAATTCATTGTTACAAGATATCGAAGTATACATGAAAAAAACCACTTTACAGACCACAGATAACAGAAATCTGTAAATTTGAAAATATGAAGAAATGTCAGGTGATAATTTAGGAGCAATGAACGGATTATCTATAAGAGTAAACTAGTTGATAACTGCAAAGGTCAATAAGCATCAAGTCAAAATATCTCAGGTTTTCTGTACCTGTGTAGATATTTCTTTTAAATTGTATGAAATTATGTGATTATAAACTTACATTAATAATTATATGATTCTAAAATGTAATTAATGGGCTGAATCTTATTTCCAACGGACAGATGGAATTATCTATAGAATTTCCATAGTGGTTCAAAACATCCTTCGTCATCCTGAGGTAAAAGTACAGAGCAAGGTGGCAGAATGGGTAAGTGAATTTGTAAAATTGGTTTTGGTTTTATACTGTTAACCTCTAGAAATCTGGCAAAGACCCTAATGTTTGGCTAACTCAGTCCACAGATAATACTGATATATAGGTGCTGTTCATTATAAATATATAAACTGATAAGTAAGTGAGGTATTGTGCTTATGCATTTGAAAAAATGACAAGAAACTGAGCCTAAAAGACTTACTATCTAAGTAAGAAAATGCCCCACAAATGGAAACGTGTGTTGGCAGGTATCTTTATTTGCTATTATGTGCATATAGTTCCAGCACTGTTTTAAAAAATATGTTTCTTATTTTATCATTTGATTGAGTATTTTTGCATTGAAAACTAAAAAATAGAAAAAGATATACAGCAGGTCCTCAAATAATGCCATTTCATTCAATATCATTTTGTTATAATGTTGAGATGCCATACATACTTAGTTCTTATTTACACCAATTAGCCTATGGTCAACTGAGTTTCATTATATATCATTTAGCTTAAAGTTTCTATTAGCTATTCTTAAAGAATCTATTGATGACTTTGAGGACTTACTGTATCATGAAAATCTTCTACCATCCTTGTAGCTTATCTGCCTGGAGATGAACCTGGAAATTACTGTAACTTTTTCTTGGGTTTTTCCAGAATTTGTGTATCTAAAAGAAAGATTATTTTATCCTTTTTACACTACAAGTAACGTATTTTACACACCGTTCTACACTGCACTTGTTTTTGTGATTAACCAATTTGCAATATTAGTACACAGAGACCTTCTTTATTTTTATTTTTTCTTATTCTTTTAGAATTTATTTTATTATTATTATTTTATTGGTATGTGCCCCTAGCGGGAACCAAACCCGGGACTCTCTGGTCCACAGGCCAACGCTCCAACTGCTGAGCCAAACTGACCAGGGCTATTTTATTATTATTTTAAAATTTATCTTTATTGTTGAAAGTATTACAGATGTCCCACTTCCCCTCCCATTGACCCCCTCCTCCCCACCCCTCACCCCCACTCCGCGCCTTCACCACATTGTTGTATGTGACCATTGGTTATTCTTTATCTTTTTCTTAAACACTATATAAGGTTCCATTATGTGGCTGTCATTTATTTAAGTTATCTGCTAATGGGTATTTAGATTATAATTTATTTAACCTGTATTATACTGATGAAAATATTGGTAATTTTCAATAAAAAAAAACTACCATTTTTTTCTTTTCTGTTTTTACAAATACAACACATAGACTTATTTTTTCTCCCTCATAACAGTACCAACAATTTTATTTTTCACTGATTTTCATTATTTATTTATTTATTCCTATCTGTGGTATACTATGGGACTTTGTACTGCTTTTTACATATAATACTGTTACAGTTCAAACAGTTGTCATGAATAAAGTCATGTGAGTATACATTCTAAAATTAGAAAAATAGGTTTCTTATAGGTGTCAAATAAATGTGTCCTTGGTGGCAAAAGAAAGTAAAATCATACCTTGAGACATAGTGGTGACAATACTTTATATATATATAAAACATATTTGAATGATAGAAAAACATAGTTTTAATTTTAAAACCAACCCCCTTTAGCCCTGGCCGGGTGCTCAGTGGTTAGAGCATTGGCAAACCAAAGAGTCTCAAGCTCAATTCCGGTCAAGGGCACGTACCTTGGTTGCGGTTCGTCCCCGGCCCTTGTCTCTCTCACATTAATATTTCTCTCTCTCTCTCCCCCCCTCCCTCCCACTCTATCTGAGATAAATAGAAAAATATCCTCAGGTGAGGATAAAATAATAATAATAATAATAATAATAATAATAATAATAATAAAGTAAAGGTAAGGACCTTTAAAACAAGTTGACCACAGGAAACAATAGTATGTAATTAACAACTATTACAAAGTTGGGGGTAAAAGTGAAATTCTTCAATAGAAGTCAAAGAAAAATGCTACTGTTGACCTTTTGGAATGACACATAAACTAGTAATTAATGTAAACACTAGAAGATGTTTGCTTTCCAAACGGAGAGCAGTCTTTACAGAAAGAGTATATTGTTGCATCCCACTTTCTTTCCAGCATTGTTCTTTCTGGTATTTTAAGTCAGAATGTTTTCAAAAGATAATACTTTTAATTTTTGTTCCCAAATAAACCACATCTAATGTTATAAATCTCAAAAATTAGTATTCACAGGAGAGTCTGCTTTAGAGAGGTATAATTTCACATTTATATTTATTTCATGCATACTTTTCAACATAAGATCATTTTCATCTGAAGCTAAACTTTACTGGACACTATCTGTTTAAGATGCAAAATACCAAAGCAGATACATGATAACAGAGAAAATATAAGTGATGTCCCTGATTCATATTATAACTATTTACAATTTTAAAAGTTTAACACCTTTTTGCCTGAATTTCCTAGATTTTACATTTAATTTTAGAGTGCTTAAGAAAAGCTATATATGTATATGAAACATAACTGAAAAAACCCTTTAGAAGTGATATATAAATAAGAGAATTTCACATCAGTAAGGATATCCTGTTTCCTGATTGTATTGGACAACGCATCATAAAAATTTGCAATTGAGAAGAATCCATTGCTTCATTAAAAAATCTGGAGCTGAGACCTAAAAAAAGACTGTTAAATAACCAAATAATAATTAACATAGTTCCCAATATGTTGAATTTATTTATTGTGTGTTTAATTTAAAGGTTTATGTTGTTGATTTATAATTTTTCTTACTGCTAATATTTTTATGAGATGATAATTACCGGGAAGATGTGTTATCACACCTTGGTGTCTGTTGAATGACGACTATGGAAGTGTTTATTATGCTCATCTTCCCTATGTACCCTTTTACAGCTAAGTTCTCAGGGTTGTAACTGACTTGGTGGCCCATTATAACATGAGCTAGAGAGGAAAGCATAGTGTTTCCAGACAGACAGACTTGAGTTCCAATCTGGCATCTGCTCATTCTTAGTTGGGTAACCTCGGGCAAGCTATTCCATCTCTGTGAAGCTCAATTTCTTCATTTTTAAGAAGACAATGGAGCAGACAATACCTATCTCATTAGTTGTTTTGCAATCAAAAGAAATAACATTTGTAAAGTTCTTGGCATACAATGATCCAGTAACTGTTATCTTTACTTTTCTTTCACTTCTTTGCTCTCTGGGATTTTCCCAGGATCTTATTCCAATAACAACTTATCTTTTGGGAGGGAAGAAACTTGATTCAGATTGTTTTAAGCATTCCCCAAACTCACCCTTTTCCATTGTATTTTTCAGCTCAATTCAACCTTCCAAAATTGGAACTATACTGTTTATGTGATCAATATCAGGTAAAATGACAGGGCAAATTATTTGAGAAATAAAAAGTAGCATCTAATTTTATACCACTATATCTTTCTCTGATTATACCTACACACACAAGCACATACATACACATATGTACCATTTTTATAATCTTTCTAAAACAACTCTATATTATGTCATTTCTTTGCATGAAAGGTTCAATGTTGCAGCAATCGTTTAAAAAAATATTTTGATCTTAGATTGTAATCATTTTATTTTTGAATTTCGCCTGTACTCCCAAAATATACTTGTGATTTTAAATAAGTGATATATGTGTGTGTATGTATTACTTAATGAATGTATTGCATGTTATAATGTATCACAAATTAAAAGGGGATAATTAAATTTAAGTAGAAGTTCCATTAGTTTCTTCTCATATGCCAGGGGATCATCTAGAGAACCCTCTGGATGGCATGCACCCTAGTTTGGAGACCAATTTTTACAAGATAAGACATCTACAGTCTGATTTCAGCCTAGCTTTTCAAAATGATCTTTCACTATTCTTCTATTTAAATACTTCACTAAATCCCAAGCAAATAGTATCAGCCATGTATGCTCCTCTGAGCCTTGTTTTCACAGCTTTATACCAAAATTAGCTTTCTAAAATGTATTTTGTGAACACTAAGCTTACATTCTGTATACTCAAGGGATATGATGACACAGAAAAAGGGATCATTTGGTTAAATGAGTCCAGAAAGTACATTATTAAACAAACTGAAGCAGCTTTCTGTATATCAGAACATCTCACATGCTCTAGCATACTAAAATGCATTGTGATCTTGGAAAGAGAGCAAGGGAACATAATTGCCAAGCTTAGTATGACTGTGTAGCTAGAACCTCAGAACACACTTGAAATACTGGCTTAGAATGCACATTCTGCCTCTTTCTTTCATCTCCTCAAATTTTGCTGTTGATGGTATGGCAGATAGGTTGATAATGAATCTGTATGTTTTTATTTATAGTTTTCACCTGAACACAGGAGAGGACAAGATTAAAGTCAAGAGAAACATTGCAGATGATCAAAGGTAACCCTGAGAAAGTCTTACATAAAAGATAGTATCCTTTCTCTTGCCCTCTGATTTGACTTTTTTTGTAGAGAAATTACAACAATGAGCTAGGAGAGAAACATTTTAATCACATGGCACATTTATATTACTTCTTTAGCACTAATGCACACTAATTTTTTCTTATAGCTAAAACTGTAACATAGCAGACTGGATATAAATGTGTATCAGATGAAAAATAATTCAGAAGTAGCATATTTAAAGTGGATGAATTATTAGTTTTAGTGGTTCCAGTATTTTTATAATAACTGATTATGTCCCATTTCAAAGAGACCTACAAAGAAAAATAAAATTGTTGTAGCTTTTTAAAAAGTAAGGCGTTTATTAATGAAAGCGTATAATAATATGGATAATAGGTGCCAAAATATTTTCTGCATTTAAAGCCATCAGTTAATTTTCTGAAGTCTCCATTTTAACTTATATCAAGATCATGACTGAAGCAGCAGACAATTTAACAGAAATGTCCACTGTAGATCATCGGTTGGCATGTAAGAGCCAGCTGTTCAGAGTGTCATATTCTAAAAACAACCTAAACTAGATGCAATAAATTTAGTTGCATTTATATATTATATTGCATCTCCATAGATAGAAAGAAATTACTGGAAGAGCAGAAGTTTACATAAGTCTTGCTCAGTTTTAATTGACTGAATTTAAATGATGGATTTACAACTATGATGATGGAATAAACTTCTTTTCAGGTGATATATACTTATTATCAGAAGATAAAAATAAAATTTCACATGAGAGTTAACCAGAGAGTTTTTTCTTTTCTGTTCAACATTAGACAAAAAAAATCTTTAAAGTTATATTTGAAGCTTATCATTTCTGTATATATTCAAAATCCACACATTTAGTTTTTCTTTGTTATGAACTCTTGACATTGTTTGAAAATTTATTCTCATAGTTTTTCCTGCTCTTTCTTTTTCCCTATTTTCTAATGATCTTTATAAACTTTTATAGTCTCATAGTTTTTCTTAAAACCATAATCTACTAGTTTTACACATACTCTTTTTTTTTTTTTTTTGCCAAACTTGCCTTTCACTTCGATTATAACACTTAACACAGACCATAGCTTTAGATGACTCTATCACACTATCGCTAGACAGACAGGAAACCAAAGCCAGAAAGACTGGTTTATTCAAATAAAGAATGATCGATGGTAACAACAGATAGAACTTGACTCTGTAGCACTATGAAATAGTTTTAGTTTTCAGGATGAGAGAGGAAAACACTCCAGATAAGACCTGTGACAATGCGTGCTCATTCTTGCATTGCTGAATTGGGTATTCAACATCATCCACAACACGCCGTGGTAATGATGTTCTCAATATTCCAGAGAAGTAGAAGGTCACAATCCCAGCTGGAAGTTCTCAGTAACTGGAGTGGCCAAGCTTATCTTTCAATGATAAGTAATCAGTGGTTACTTTATCCCAGCTCACTGTTATACCCACATTTGTGTTTGTCTCATCTTGAAATATGGCTTAAATATGAACTTTAAGCAGTGGATCATTTGAAAAACAAATAGCCCTTCAAAGTGAATTATGAAAATGGTAGAGCATCTTGTCCTTGAGATATTTAGGGGGAAAATAGAACTATTATTCAATTTCACCTAATCTTCAATAGCAATTATTTCACTTATTCTTTTTTTTTCTCTTTAGCACCACAAATCTGTTAATGCTTTATTTCATTTTTATTGTTACTATCAGAATTTCATTAATAAAATATACAATGCTGCCCCGCTGAGTGCTTTCTAGTTATTTTCAGTGACTGGCGTGTGCATAGGAACTGAGGCTGGATAATGACTCCTGTCATATTATTCATTTCTCCGCAGAATCTGACGATGAAAAGTGGTGTTCTAAACCCAGACCTTTCACATACAAGGGGAAATATTTCTCCTCTACCTGACAAAATAATGTCATTTAATTTTACCTCAATGTTGAATTAATAGCTTTGATTTTTGCTATTGACTATAACTGACTACAGCTCAGCCGAAAATTACATTACTTCACATTGCAGAGCCAAACGTTTGGGTAGGGCTTTTAGGAAACAGCTCTGCTTTCCATAGAGATGTGTATTTTTAAAAACATTCAAGGTCTATAAACGTCTTTGGTAAAATGCTAGTCAGCCATTGAGTAAATTTTGAGTACTTACTTCGTAACTTTTCACCTTGCAAAGTACGTGCAAATGTTTTATTGAGATAGAAATCATTTATCACAGTTCTGGAGAGATTGTAACACGTTTGTAAACAATAACACTAAATAATTTTAAAAGTCAAATGATCAGTTTAGTCACATTAGATGAAATTTAATTTTTCTAACAAATTTTATTTGGGGCTGTAAAGAAATTTTAGATTTAACCATAAGTGTGTCCCTTTCTTGCACATATGCTATAAAATATTACTGAAAATGTTTCCTCAAATAAATGTGGTGTTGAAAAATAAGATTTAAAAAAATCACTTCAAATGATAAAAAAAGAAATGGGGTGATGTGATATAGGATAGAATTATACATGTAATGTCCTATAAAATACATTTACATTGAGATCTTTTTCAACAATATCATTTATGTAGCAACAGAAGTCTGTGTGTGCCTTGGCCTATCTTTTTATTGTCAATACTTCATAGTCTCCCTCTTACTATCATTTCCAAATGTTCTATTTTTCTACCAAAAATAAAAAAAATAAAACCAGCCCTACAACAGTTCTATCTACAATGTTTCCCTAGGATGGTGATTTGGGCCCATCTAGTTTACAATGCTACTGACAATATCAATTTAGAAGGAAAAGTGATTCAGCAGAAGCTCTTAACAAGTAATGAGTCCCTGGATGAGGGCTTGAGGCTGTACACCGTGAGTGTGAGGCAACTGGGTAAGTGCCTTTCATTTTTTCATAATATGTATTTTAGATGACTATATATACAGGTTTAATTAAAACAACAAAAATATTCTTCCGATATGTGTTATTTACTTATTTAAAGCTATTTTGTCTGATGATGAAATGCATCATGGCGGTGATATTGCAGCAAAGGGACGACATGGTGAGTGTAAAAGATATCCACTCGATGCCTGCGAATCTAAGGGGATGAAAGAGGCAGGGGAGGGCGTATACTCTCTTCTAGGGATGTATTACAAAAATACTGAGAGTATGAGAAAAATGCCAGGGTGGTCTTCACCAGAATTGGCTTAAACTGTAGAAAAAAGAGAGTGCATATGGAAACACGAATGAGGTAAATGTTATAAAAGGTAATTTCTTATTATAAATTCCTTCTATTATGTTTTCTGTCTTCATTAATGACACCACTATCTCTGCAGGAATAGACCAGAAATCTGGGAGCTATCCAGGACCTAGATTGAATTCTTACTTAGACATCATCCACATGCTTAGCTCCAGCCACACACACGGTATCACTTACACTTCGCTAACACACCAGCTCTCTGTGCCTCCTTTCCTTGACTTTGCCCACCTGCTCTTCTCTGCGCTCACCACCCACCTGCTCACCACCTTCAGAGTTTCCCTGACAGCCCACAATCACCTCTCTGTAAAGCCTTTCTGACGTCATCCGTGCATAAGTAGATGTCACCGCCTTGGAGCCACCACTTGGTGCTTGAAGATACCTACAGCACTGCAGACATTAGAAGGCCACAGTATTTAACTGGACTTATGTGTGTTCACATATATATTCTCTTTAAACAGGGCTTTCCTCTGGCTTGAGAACACATCACATCTTATTTTCCTTTAACACCCTACCTTCCCCAGCACCCAGCACGTCCCACGCACTTACATGCTAAAATAAGACGTGATGAGAATCCTTTAGTAAAGCAAATGATCCAACATCTGAACAACAGAAAGTAAAGTCATTGTTCTAATTTTTTTCACTGATTTGAAGAGAGAGAGAGAAACATAGATGTATTGTTCTGCTTAGTTATGCATTCATTGGTTGCTTCTTGTATGTGCCCTGGCCGGAGACTGAACAGGCAACCTTGGCATGTTGGGACGCTGCTCTATCCAATTGTGCTACTGGGCTAGGGCTCACTGTTCTAATGTTATTCTGTGATTACAACTGTATTATCATTAGGCACATTAGTAGAGATCAAAAGAAAACTTCGACACTTGGCCTTATGGAGTAGGCTGGTATTCCTCAGTCCCTAGACCATGGTTATGCCTGAGGCCATGACCACAGTGTTGTAGAGAAGCAAGCGTCTTCCCTTCTGTGAGCAGTACCATCTCTAATGTGTCCACTTACACAGCTACAGAGAATCATAGAGACGGAAGAACACAAGTCATCATCATCATCATCACCAATTTCTGGGCCTCCATGTGAAAATGCTTGCTTATTCACAAACAGGGCTTTGGCGGGTGGGGTACAGATGTTGCCTTTTCACACACAAAAGTCTCCACAAGGACGTAGCTTGACAAATGGTGGTTTGTGGGTGATGAGGGAGCTCAATGGGGCAGCCCTTTCTGTCCTCAGAGGCTGCAGGATCCAGAACTCTCTCCAGATACCTAGACATGTAATTTATACTACTTACTTTAAATCCTACACTGTGTTGTTTTTCTGTAAGAGGGTCTGTGAAGAAAAGTTTCTATGAATCGAAAGACAACATGGGGCTAACCCTCGACAATGTTAAGGCTCGGATTATAGGCGGGAAGGTGATATGAGTGTGCATTTGGCAGCTGCAGTGCAGGGTCCCAGTAGTATGGTATGACTTGCTACTCTTTTTCGGCACTGAAATACAAATGTTGCTGTTGATACATTGCTTTTATTTTGATATTTTTTAAATTGTAAAATCTGACTCATTTATGGCATGGCACATACGGAGAGAGTTTTCAAACCGCAGGTGGGATGATTGGAGGATGAAGGCCTGTGTGTGAGAGGGTGGCCTTAGCTCACAGGGTCTCATCGTTCCTCCAGCAGACTTCCAGGCAGAAGATCTTTCAGAGCAGCTGGAAATGCTTCTGGAAAAGATCCTCACAATTCAGTGACAACACTATTTTGTAGGCTTTCCCCTTTGAAAAAAAATCAGAGGGGACTTTACATTCTGAAGTGTTTTCAGGACTGTTTTTATTTTATGCAGTGTTTATTTTTTTCATTTTTTTAATGTTACATTTAGGGTTCACTCTTTTTATCTTATTTTATTTTGTCCATCCCCATGTATTCCCTCTATGCCCTCTTCCACCTCCCTCGCTCACGAATACACCTTTATTGTACTCGTTTTACTTGCTAATGATTTCTTTTAGAATGATATATTCACTTTAGTTTTTCTATTTGATGGTTTTGTTAGCTGTAATGATTTTTGTATCTAATGTAGTAAATGGTTATTTTTTCTCATTTCTCATTTCAGATTTTAACAAATTCTAAACACAAAAATCTAGTAATTTAGTAGTCCATGAAGTAAATACCTCATAGCCAGCATTGTTGTTTTGCTGTTATCTTGCACCTGCAACTTCAAAGAATAGATTAATATTTCTCATTTTATTACGCTTCTTATTTTCACATAGGTTTTTGCCTTAAGGAGGAGAATCCCAAAGGCTATCAGTGGCCAGACCTCTACCCTTCTGAATACAAGCTTTTGTGTCCAGAGAAGCCAGGTTTTTATGCTTCACGGATCTGGTAATACTTTCATTGGCTCTTGCCAGCACCCCCCACATCGTCTACTTTCCCAGGGTCCCACACGCTGCACCGTGGCTCCCAGGCATTGCATATCACTTAGACAGCAGGGCAGGGATCTCTGTGTGCGCCTAAATCATAACCTCCACGAGGGGTAAACAGGAGGCAGGTAGGTTACCAGTAGAAGTGTTTTCACTGCAGGCAACATTGTAATTTAGCCTTCTCTGAAGGACAGTGGGGACATTTGGAAACCAGAGGGTGTCTCTAGAGCAAACCACCTTATATATGGATGAACCAAGGTGGCTCGCAGCCTTTGAACATGCATCAGAAATTCCAAGACTTTAAACTGTTTGGCGTGCCTGTTGTTGGAGGGGAAAGAGGCAGCCAATGAGGGAATGAAGCAGGATCCAGGTTAGGGCAGTCTACTCATGGGGGCTGTCAGGGTAGGGATTGTCCCTGAATGTTTAACAGAAACCACAGACAGGTCAACTGCAAGTCAAATCCAGTTCTTCACCCTCCACCCCACCCCCAATTAGGGTTTTCTTGGTAGGGAAATGCTGAAACAGAAGCTTTGCTCCTACTACTGTGTTTGACACGTGGTTGGAGCATTGAAAGGGGCTATGGAGACGTACTGGCCTGAGTCTGAAGCATGTCTCTACCTCTTCCTGCCTGGAGACCTTGGAATTCCCTTGACTTATCTGAATCAATGTCCTCATCTCTAAAATGTGGACTGTGATCTGCTTCACGTAGTTATGTGAAATCATTGTCAGATTTTATCTGCCCTTGACCCACATTACCAAATATGGTTTTGACCTTAGTAACCTTATGTAACCTAGGTTAGGCTACGAGCCCTTGCTAGCATTTTATTCCCATGAGTCATGCACTTGGTTTTTTTTTTTTGCCAATAAGAATTTTTAATATGAGTTTAATTTTAATGTATTACAGTTTTGTTTTCCAATAAAACTTAAGTAGATATAAAGGCAAATTCTAAAACTCTTCATTCGCTAAGTTTGTCAATTCTAATGTACTTTATGCCACATATTTGAAACGCATTTCTTTGTTTCATAGTTATCAAAACTCGTCCAACACATCTGTAGCCCACTGGGGGATTCCTGATATCTCCAATTGTTCAAGTAAGTGAATGATTTTCTTCGGTTCTCAGAGACCAATTGAAATGACCTCATACTTCATGGTTTTCATCCCCTTCAGATACGTTCTCCTGCCATAGGATGCTACTGTAACATTAAGAGCTGGCAAATCATCATTTCACTTACTTCAGATAGGAAATACTGTTTTTTCTCATTCTGGTTTCCTGTTGTATTGTTTCTGAAGGAGAGTAAAAATGGCCTAAAATTTTAGAGAACACTTAAAAATAATATACAAATGGATATTCGTATCAATGTTTTAGAGCTTTGTATTGTTTTAAACAGCGATTATACACTTATTCAATTATTCTGGGTACATTTCTATTAGAGCTGTGTGGGTCTCTCCAAGTTATTTACCTAAGTTGCTTAAGGGCACAGTTTATCTTTTACTAAAGAGATGCGTTAGTCTCTGTGTGCAAAGAAGTATTATTGCTCTCTGCAGATTGTGATAAGGAGTTATGCACAGAAAACTTGATTTGCTACTTAAACTATGATGTTAAATATCACACCCTGTTTCAATCCTGGAAATGATCCAAAAAAAAAAACCAGGTAAAACTTTATATGTTGTTTCTTCTGTTTTTTTTTTAGAGGAAGCAAATGAAATTGCCAATCAGATTTTAAATTTAACTGGTGATGGGCAGACTTTAAACTCAGCCAATATTACCAGCATTGTAGAAAAGGTGAAAAAGATCGTGAATAAAGAAGAAAACATTGATTTAACTCTTGGCTCAACTTTAATGAATATATTTTCTAATATCTTAACCAGTCCAGACAGTGACTTGCTTAAATCTTCTTCTGAGTAAGTTTTTTTCTTCTTTTTTTCTGGAGAGTAAAATTTATTGGATGCATGTGTTGTTATTTAATTTCTCACATATCTGATTTTTTTTTTTTGCCCAGATTTCATAATTTATATCTCTAGAAGATCCATTGATAATTCCCAAGATCATTCACAAAGTGAACTTAAAATGATTAGGATTGGCATCTGGCAAGACATTAAATAATCTCAGAAAAGCATAATCAGTATTGCATTTTCATCTGAAAAAAATGTTAACTGGGGTTAATTCAAAAGATGAATAGACTATCACAAATATTCATTAATGCCCCTACCCCCCCCCTTTTTTTTTTTTTTCTTCAGAGGAGACACTTAGCAGACATTCAACTCACAGCTTTTAGGCATAACTTGGTCACTGTCCTGGGAACTGTGGTATAGAATTGCCACAGCTATGTCATTGTACCTCTGAAATTAAAAGGTGTAAGGCAGGGAGAAAATGTACCTATTTTATAGAATTCAGTTTATTTCCAATTATTTTACTTAATGTATTGCTATTAAGATATTTAATCTGCCTGGCCAGTTGGCCTCAGCTGTTGAAGCATCGGCCAATGGACCAAAGAATCTTGGGTTCAATTCTGGTCAAGGGCATATACCTTGGTTGCGGTTCAATCCCCAGCCCTGGTAAGGGTCGTGCGAGAGGCAACCAGTCAATGTGTCCCTCTCACATTGATGTTTCTCTCTCTTTCTCTCCCTCCCACTCTATCTGAATATCATTGAAAAAATATCCTTGGTTGAAGAGTAAAAAAAAAAAAGATATTTAATCTTTTCTCTTTGTTTTCTTCCTTTCTATGAAATTTTTGATGAAAATTTTATATTTGTTAACATGAATTATTATTACTTATCTACGTAATAATTACACACTATCTTTTACGGTGTCTTGCAGTTCAAAAAATACTTTTACACATTATTTCCTTTGACTCTTACTCAGTTATGAGTATGAAGCATATTCTTTATATGAAGAAAGAAAGACTAAAATAGTTAACAAAAAAACCAAAACAAAACAATTTGTTTAGGATGATTTCATTGTTGATTTTCCTTAAAGCATATATTTTTCTCTTGAGGCTGTATTTATCACTATGATTCTAGGTATTAACTGCTATTGTTGTGGTTTGGGTAATTTTGTAAGATCAGACAATTTAAACACAATTTTATTTGGTTTGTATTTTGTGCAGCAAATCATGTGTGTGTAGGCACCTAAAACACATTACTTAGCAGTGGCATTGTTTGTCATTTCTTTAGAGCTTTAAGAACAATTGATGAATTGGCTTTCAAGATAGACCTAAATAGCACACCACATGTGAATATTACAACTCGGAATTTGGCTCTTGGAGTATCATCCCTATCTCCAGAGACTAGTGAAGATTTAAATTTTAGCATCAGTCTTCCAAGAAATAATGAATCCTATTTTCAGGTATGAACTGGTAGTTTCTTTAACTTTGACTAATTAGACAGATACAAACTTTCTGATGACCTACCAATTGCTCTTCACGGAGATATTGGCCCAGGAGATGGCAGGCAGGTTGGAACGCTGACCCAGGTTCACAGTAGTGTAACCATAAGGTAGGTGGCACATCGAGGAGAGTACACTTTCAGAACCTAGGTGACTGAGGTGGGCAGCTTATCTTCTAAAAGCGGTGATAATGGAACTAAGTATTAAAGCATGTCTGGAGTCCACCCTTTGGGGAGTGGAAACTGGGGATAAGTTCATTTAGAAGAAAGAACTCGAAGTGCCCCAAAGTGAGAAGCTTGGTGTATTCTCTTAGGGTGATAATCACCACCTGAAGGCCTTGTCAAAACAGACTGTGGGATCCTATTCCCAGGGATTCTAATTTAATTAGTCCAAAGTATCTCCAAAATTTGCAGGAGTTCCCATGTATGACTGATATTTCTGGTCTGAGGATCGTATTTTGAGAGCCAGTGATGTAGAAGGCTGGAAAGGGCAGGTGGTGGTGAGTTTGGGCAAGAAAGCTGGGGCCAGAGTCATGGAGACTCTCTTTGGCCTGTTCAAGTGACACTTCAACAAATAATTTTCTTTCTAACAAATTTTTTTTTCTGTATTGATTTTAGAGAGAGAGGAAGGAAGAAGGAGAGAGAGAGAGAGAAACATCCATGAGAGAGAACATCGATTGGCTGCCTCCTGCATGCCCCCCACTGGGGATGGGGCCCTCAGCCTGGGCATGTGCCCTGACCGGGAATTGAACCAGCGACCTCTTGGTGCATGGGTTGAAGCTCAAGCACTGAGCCACACTGGCTGGACTAAGCAAATAATTTTCAAGTTTCCACTGTGTGCTAGACTGTGTTAGCCATGTGGGCAAGTGAAATGATTGAAACATTGTCCTTAACGTGGGAGAACGCACAAGTGGCATGTAATTCGTCTTAACTGTAGAGAAAAACCAAGATAAAATATTTTGAAGTCTGGATGTAAGGAGGAACTTTATGCTGCTTTAGACTCGGGGCTCTTTGAGGTAATTCTACTTGACATTTTACGAGTGAAAACTCAGTCAGCCCCAGTCTCACTCCAAGTCCATTTGCAAGAAAACACTTTGACCTGACCTGTGGGTTCAGGAAATGGTATCCGAACGTGTTCATGAACTTTCAGTTGCTTCCTCTACGGGGAGGTACTCAGCCTCAGCAAGCCAACAAATTAACTTGGCTTTTTCTTTTCTTTTCTTTTCTTTTCTTTTCTTTTCTTTTCTTTTCTTTTCTTTTCTTTTCTTTTCTTTTCTTTTCTTTTCTTTTCTTTCCCTCCCCTCCCCTCCCCTCCCCTCCCCTCCCCTCCCCTCCCCTCCCCTCCCCTCCCCTCCCCTCCCCTCCTCTCCCTCTCCCTCTCTTCTCTTCTCTTCTCTTCTCTTCTCTTCTCTTCTCTTCTCTTCTCTTCTCTTCTCTTCTCTTCTCTTCTCTTCTTTCTCTTTTTTGATAGTTATTTTTCACTACATGATTTGAAAAAAGCTCAGAATTCATTGTGTCACTCTGGGTAGTGTGGCTCAGTTGGTTGTGTGTCGTCCTGTGCATGGAAAGGTCACTGGTTCCATTCCCAGTCAGAACACCCAGGTTGTGGGTTCAATTCCCCGTTTGCGATGTGTGCGTCAGGCAACCTATCGATGTTTTTTTTCTCTCTCTCTTCCTCTCATTTCCTCTCTCTTTAAAATCAATAAAGCATATTTTAAAAAATTATTAAGTGTAAATCTAATTCATATATTTGAAAATATTAACTGATTTGTAGATTGCTCAATTGCCTTAGTTAAAGTCAGTGAATTTGCTGTTTTGCCACATGTTCAAAACCCAGTGAGGTGCACACCTTTGTCCACAGGGGGTTCCCCGGGAGGGCAGTGACTGGTGAAGGGACAGGGCAGCCCTGGTCCTGGCCAAGGCGACGGGTGCAGCTGCTCTGCTTACTCAGCATGTGGAGCAAGGTTGTCATCTCGATTTCATTGTGATCACTTGACCAGTTTATCTCTGTGTGTGACAGATGGATTTTGAGAAAGGACACATGGATCCATTGGCTTCTGTCATTTTGCCTCAAAATTTACTCAAGAACTTAAGTCAAGATTATTCTGCAATAGTTAAAAGAGCACAGTTTACTTTCTTCAATAAAACCGGACTTTTTCAGGTAAGTGTTCATTAAATTGTTATTTTTCAATTGCAAATTGAGTTTCTTTGCTTGAAAGGAAAACAGATATTTAATTTCCTTGGAAATATATCAAGACATAGAAAAATTAACCTACAATATTTTGAAAAATAAAATATTTTAACACTTGAATATTTTATTACCGATAATCACATGCTTAGGAACAGATGTGTCCATTTAAATATTTTTAATAAATCCGGTACTAGATTAAGACTTGCATGATGCAATTATAAATGGACTTTGTGGGGAAGCTACTCTTTACCATTCCTTTTGTTAAATATTTTATGCCCGCCAGCAGCTTAGTCCTTCAGAGTTAGAGATTGTGTGCCAAAGGAAAGGCTTTGTTTTGTTTTAATTCCACAGGAAGCACTGTTTACATAATGAGCGGCATTCTTGGCTTTAATCAGTTTTCCCATTAGTATTTCAAATGACCTTTGGTCTTCACACATTCCCAGAGTGGGATGGCATTGTGTTAAGCGCATGTTATCATTTTTATTGGCATCATTTCTAGATAGTAGGAAGGCCCATGCCAGCAAACACTGCTGACCTCTGCTTGCCTTTGAAAGTACAATCCCATCATCTAGCAGTTTTACTCAGCCCTTTTTAAAAAAAATAGAAGTTATCTGTTAAATTGAAGATACCAGTGTCTGTCAAACAGTGAGACCCGTGTAAGAGCAAGTGGCCAGTCTCAGGGAGAGGACGCTGTTCGCTGACAGTTCTGCCCTATGTCCCGTGCGGAGGAAGGGCAGCGTTGTCACAGGTAAGGGACAGGAATCGTTTACAGTCCCCAGATCTTAAAACTGTATCTGCAAATGTATTAGGAACAAGTCATATAACAATTTTTAGTAGCCTTGGCTGGTCTGGCTCAGCAGTAGAGCGTCGGCCCACGGATCAATGAGTCACGGGTTCAATTCAGGTCAAGGGCATGTACCTCGGTTGTGGTTCATCCTTGGCCCTGGTCAGGGTTGTGCTGGAGACAACCAGTTGATGTGTCCCTCCCACATCAATGTTTCTCTCTCTCTCTCTCCCCACCCCACCCCTCTCTCCCTCCCTGCTAATCTGTCTAAAGATAAAGGGGAAAAAATGTCCTTGGGTGAGGATAAAAACAAAACAAAAACAATTTTTAGCAGATTCAGAACACGTAATTACTCGGAAGGGTTTAATAGCTATGAACACATGAAGCAGCATTTGTGAAAATTATTTGAGGCTTACAGTAATGTCACCTTTAAAAAACAATACAAAAGTGCAGCAGGTATCACAGTGTGAGGTGTTGGCCGGGGGGTGTCCATTTCGAGGGCAGGTTGAGCCCAGTGGGAGGGTCAGGACAACCTTAGAGTTGTAGGAATCAGTCATTATTTCACTTAGAGTCTTATCTTCTGCACACCTTCTCCTTTGGCATAAAACCCATATGTTTGGGTTTTAAAGTAAACCTATAGCAGAGAAAAGCACATTTAAGGGTTCTGTGGTTCTCTCACGTAGGGAACAAAATGCGGGGTGTTTTTTGTTTGTTTGTTTGTTTGTTTGTTTGTTTTAAGGAAAGACTGAGTGTCCCCAAGCTATAGCCAACTTTATTGAGAGTGACCACACAAAACTAAAAGGCTATATTCTAGATGCTGAGACTCATTTGGCTTCGAGGAAATCCCGTGATTATTCCAAAGCAACGGACTTCATTAGCTGCAATAGGGAAATTCAGTACGTTTGACAGGGAACCCAAGGGGCAGAAGAAAGTCGAGGCATCTCACTGGAGAGACAGTTCATGGCTCAGTCATTTTGCACACAGAGTCACTCATTCAGTTTCCCGACAGTCTTGTCCCTGAAGTGGAAGCTAAGCAAGGGTACAATCGAGAAGGTGGGAGTGCTCGAGGAGGCTTGAATTCAGTACATTTCGTGTAAATTAGCAAACATGTCAGGCTTTGGCATGGATGTGAAAAATGAATTATCTTCTTTATTTTTCACCACATATTCTTGCTTCTCTAGAGAAAAACAGCTTCATCTGTTTTCTAGGGTAGGGAAGTGATCTAATGGTTTTGCAGCTTTTTATGAGTTTCTGTTATTTATGGCTTTGCATTGTTTCGATGTTAACGGGCTGGCACCCGTCACAGCTGTCACCATAAGGTTTCATGCACATCACCCTGGTACACCGGCTCCTAATGTTCTCTCAGTGCATTTATTATAAGAAGGGAAACAGCAGCAGTCTTTCAGGAAAGCCAGCAATTTGAGCTTATAAACAGGATGTTTTATAATTCGAGATCTTAAGTGTAGAAAGTGCTGACAGTTTGCTTATTTTGGACGAACAAAATAAAATAAAAGTGTGTACTTCTGACTAATACACTTTTTTTTTCCCTTGTAAAGGATGTGGGGACCAAGAAAGGCACCCTAGTGAGTTACGTGATGGCGTGCAGCATCGGAAACATTACCATCCAGAACCTGAAGGACCCAGTTCGAATCAGAATCAAACACACGAAAAACAAGGTAAGAAAACCCTGCAAGGAGCAATAAAGTAGAAGCCGACTCGTTCAGAGAACTCTGGGGCTGATTCCAGTTGAAAACAAGCAACTGGAACTTTTTTCAAGGGGAACAAATTTCCCTGAAGTGGGGAACGCTCATCAGGTAGAGTCGTGGCCATGGGGGAGGGGGTCGCCTTATCTAGGCTCCAGTAATTGGAAGGAGTGTGGAAGTGAAGAAACCGGCCGCTGTTACTAAGAAATAACATGTATCCTTTGAGACAAATTAGATTCAGAGGTGGCTGTTCAACCCTGCCGCTAATTTTAATGATTTTTTATTTTTCAATTACAGTTGACATACAATATTACTTAATTTCAGGGGTACACCCCAGTGATTACACATGATATAACTCACTGAGTGATCACCCCACTACATCTTGTACCTGCCTGGCACCATGCATAGTTATTACAGTATCATTGACTACATCCCCGTGACTACCCTGTGACTCCCCGTTTATACTTCTTAATCCCCTCACCTTTCCACCCAGCCCCCAGCCCCCTCCCACCTGGCGTTTTGGCTGCTGTTTTCTAAGGTCAAGGTCACTGTTACAGGGAAAGCAGAGGGCAGGGGACAGGCTTGACTTGTTTTTTGAGAGGTTAACAGTTGTCTAAAATTTTGGCAAATGCCTTTTTAGTGGCTTTATCACCCTGGCTATCATCTGTTTTGTGTGATAAAATTACATGGGGGTTCATATTGTCCGTCCCAGGTGTCCCAGGCACAGGTTTCCCCCTTTCGTGGAGGGTCCCGGTCACCATTCCTCCGTTTATGGGGCGGGCAGGAAGGCGGGCGCTGGGGGGTAAGGACCAGGGCTTGGAAGGCATCTAAGAACTCGCTGGGCTTTGTCAGGAAACCTCTGGCCCTCCCTGTCTCACCCTTGGCCTCCTTTGTTTCAGCTCCCAGCTCCTTCATCCGCAACCATTTTTAAAATTTTTTTTTGTAATAAAACATACAAAACAAAATTTACTCTTTTCAGGGGCACAGTTCAGTGACCTTGAGGACACACGTTCTTCTGCAACCATCCCCCAAACTGTTGCACATTCCTCCAGTGAAACTGTGGCCATTAAATAACCGCCCGTGCCCCGGCCCCGGCCCCGGCAACCCCCATTCTCCTCCCTGTCTCTTTGCGGTGACCACTCTCGATACCTCCTGCAAGCGAAATTGACAGTATTTGTCCTGTGACCGCCTTATTTCACCGAACATATGTTTTCAGGATTCGTCCATGTTATAGCACTTTCAGACTTCCTGCCTTCCCAAGGCTGGGTGCTATTCCACTGCATCCTATGGATACCCCACGTTTGACTGCGCCCACCTCTGGCCATGGTGAATGATGTGTGCGTGTACCTGTCTGACACCCTACTTTCAATTATGTTGGGCACATGCTAGACATAAAGGAGAATTTTAAAGATGAAATAAAATGACAGTGTAAAGAGCTTTGCTGAATGCCAAGCATAGCATTTTATGATGGGACACATAGAGAAACCTTTAGGTAACTGAGGAACACAGTTCCTCATGGGTCATAGTTGATTTCCACCCAAAGCCTTTGTGAGAGGAGATTGGGTCCCCCTAGACTGCCTGTCATTTTTTGGTGGTATTGGTATGACTAATGCTGATCCATTTCGTTGTGAAAACCTTAGCATTTTATTCTGTTCCCATATCCAAACCATACGCTTTCCCCATTTTTCTTATACATAATGTTCTTTCTTATATTAATATAGGCAGGGCATAAACCCATCTGTGCCTTCTGGGACCTGAACAAAAATGGTAAGTGTTCAAATATTGGCTACCTTAATAACAAGTGAATTCTAAACATCATCAGACACCCCTGCTCCCTTTCGTTCTACCCCAACCCAGAGGGAGTCGCAGCACAGCACGACGGCACCTGTGCAGATTTTCGCTTGGGTAGCTTGGGAAGTGAATTCTAATTTTTAGGTAACTTTTTATTCATTGCAAGAGGAAATAGGAGGGCTTGGTTTTTTTAAAAAATCAAACAACCTCCTTAATTTCAGTTACTTATCAAATAGAGTACACATTTATATTGCCATTTTATTTTTTAAAAACATTTTTTTCCATATTGATTTTAGAGAGAGAGGAAGAGGGAAGGAGAGAGAGATAGAAACATCAATAAGAGAGAACATTGATTGGCCACCTCCTGCATGCCCCACATTGGGGATCAGGCCCACAGCCTGGGCATGTGCCCTGATTGGGAATCGAACTGGCGACCTCTTGGTGCATGGGTCGACGCTCAACCACTGAGCCACATAGGCCGGGTTTTATTGCCATTTTAGATAAACATCGATATACACTGGATCTCATTCTTCTAGGACACTTAGGAGTAGGTTTTGGGGTGTGCATATACATAAAGTATACAGTTAGAAACCCAGCTTGCGAACCCCAGATCATGGGAGACAGCACACGGGGACTGCACATACAGGAATTATAAAGGTATACACTGCTTGAAATGAAGAACTGTGTCCACAGCGATGTTTGACAGTCAGGAGAGAAAGGCAAAATTCAGGGTTTGAGCACTAGGTGCAAGGTGTGAAGATCTCTTTGAGGAGAGGGGTGCTGGTGAAAGCTCCCACCTCTGCCCCTGGGGTCACCCTCCCTGGGGGTTCCCCAAAAGGATTATATTGCTTCTTGATAGAAATGTAGTCTGAAGATGTCCAAACCTCTTTCTTTCTGATACTCTATCACAGCTGAAAGTTTTTTGTTTGGGTTTTTGTTACACAGTTCTGAGAAGATCCTGATTTACTAGATACGTCGTTTAAAATGATATTACCTTGCAGTCTTAAAGCATTCTTCAAACGGCCCCGGCCGATTTTGCTCAGTGGTTAGAGCATCGGCCCGAGGACTGAAGGGTCTTGGGTTCAATTACTGGTAAGGGCACATGCCTGGGTTGCCCCCAGCCCTGGTTGGGGTCATGCAAGAGGCGACCAGTCGGTACATCTCTCTCACTTCGATGTTTCTCTCTCTCTCCCTCCCTCCCTTCCACTCTATCAAAAATCAATGGAAATATATCCTCAGGTAAGGATTAACAGAAAAACATTCTTCAAATGGATGAGTTGCTCATATTCCACAGCATGACATACATCAGAACAGACGTAGCAAAGGCCTTTATCGGAAGTGGCCACCATGCATGGCCGCTGTGTCCATGGTAACACGCTCCAAGAAAGGCCTTCCTTGTTCTCGTGTCTTCACACAAACAGACTAGCCCAAGGACAAACGTGTTGATCTCCAGAGACTATTAGTATAGAACATATTTGAATAGGGCTATTCTTTTTAGGAAAGTTTATCTTATAATATTTTAGAAATTAAACTTGAGTGAAACTTTTGCACAACCCCTGAGGCCCTTCAGTGGAACACAGTTGAAAACCACTGACCGGAGCATCTCTAGCTGCCCACCCGGCCCTGATCTCATGACCCCAGGAATCTTAAGTGTTCCAACCCTCAGCGGCTTTAAAAACAGTGTCCGTGTTTCAGATAAACTGTGAGGCAGAAGATACTAAGGCATAGTTCTCTAAAGAAGATGTCATCCGTTTTGGAGGAGGAACTGATCTGCTGTTGTTCTCATTGTTGGTTGACTTCCCCTGCAGAGGGTTCTGGATTCTGGAACACGTCGGGCTGTGTCGCGCACACGAATTCGGATGCAAGCGAGACCGTCTGCCTGTGCAACCACCTCACACACTTCGGCATTCTGATGGTAGGGGATTTCGGAACGCATTTTGAAATGATGTGATTTTGGAAGGCGTGCATTTTTGTGTGTGAGTCAGCCTTTTTAGCTGATGTGTTTGGGGAATTCTTTCCTGATAGTTTTTGTCTGTACCTTGAATCTTGATTCTTAATGAAGAATCTAATTAGCAGAAATCATAGATTAAAAATATACAAAAGTATTTACAGAAAAGGACCCTACGTTTTCTTCCATAGCATTACCAGTGATGATAAATAATCCTAGAAAGGAGAATATCACTGTGAGACTTTTAAATTAAGAAAGAAACAGAGAGTCAGGGAGACAGAAGAAAAGGGAGGAAAAGAGAGATGAGATAAAGGAGGAAGAAAATGTTGGATTTTACCAGCATGGAAGGGAACTGTGAAGAGTTTGATCAGAAATGTTCTTTCTTTATAATATGTTAATACTCTATATGTTTGAATGTTACTTTGCACCAGGCACTTTGCTAGTGAGCCTCCTGGAGATCACCGTCTGGTAGGACACACTAGTGACTGGGATGGCGTGGAGTTGCCAAGTCTACAAGGCAGATGATGTGCGACTTTTTTCTCCCTGCTAGACTTTTATATCATCCTTGTCTTTCTCTCTGTCTTCCTTCCTTCCTTCTTTCCCATGGCCTGTTTGTATTTCATTAGTCAGCCTATCCAGCAGTTTTAAATAAACATTAGATTGCATTGACATGTTTTTTCCCTCCTACTAAATTTTCAAGAGCTGCCCTACATCCAATGACTTGTTTGAATTCGTCCACAGACTTATCCTTTTACTTTATGTCTGATACACTCGTGTTTTTGCAGACACCTTTCTGGGGACAAGTGCACCCCTCGGATCCTGGCAGAGCCATTGTTTCTGTGTAGTGTCCATAAAGGGATTGAAGCACGTTTGTTTTTTAATTGAAGGTGGGAGTAATTAATATGTGCCGAGGCAATAAAGTTCTCTGAATTCAAATCGCAGACATCAGGTTATGTTCATCCCCTCCCTTAAACCTTACACCCACTTCCCGTGGGTCTGGGAGGAAGCACTCAGGACCATGTGATGTAGTATTTGGCTCATGAATCCACTTGGCCAGTGTAAGTGGTCATTGTCCTTCGGCAATCCTGCAAGTTGTAATTTTCCTGACAAGCCAGTGCATAGGAGCTCAGAAGGAGAAGAACAAGTCATTTAAAAGGGCAACAATCATAGAAAATAACTTTCTCAAAATATAAATATCGTCTTACTGCCAGAGCATGAAAATGAACAATAAAACTATAGCTTGTTTTCAGTAAGTGATTAAAAGGTACTCAGTTTTCTTCTGTTTTCTCATTTCTCCAGAAATGAGAGCAGACATTCTTTCAGAAAACACTGCATTATTACTCATTACACACAAAATATATTATTACTTATTCAGATATGTATACTTTAGTTTAATTGATTTAACTACTTCAGCTGTGTGTGTGTGCATTTTGTGTGTATGTGTGTGTGCCCATGATTGTGTTGTAAGTCTAATAGTAGATAAATAACAATAACATAATTCACTACTCAAAGATGATTTATATGTAACAAAGTGTGCTGTCTCATTACTTTGAATAATCAGTAGTTTCTTCAACATTGTTTAAATTTTATAATGAGTTTGTAACGATATGTTACTGTTTCATATAATCTGATTAAATAATTAGCTGTGCAAGTGTCTGGCTCTACGCATATTTTTATACTGTCCTTCCATTTACCACCTTGGCTGTTTTTGTGGGCTTAGAAACTGCTGGAAGAAAAATTTTCCAGAATTTATCCTTTCTGGCCATGTGCCCATATCCTTTCAGCTTTCCAGACCACCAAGACTTTCTCCGGAGTCTCTCTTGATTTACAAACTATTTGCTCACTTATACAAGCTATCCCCAGAGTCTGCGTTGCTCAGTGACACGTTTACCATATGAGAAGTTCAGAAAATGTATCTCAGTCCCTTAATTATATCTTCTAGTATACAAATGTATGAAGAATTTAATGTCTTTGCTATATTTCTTTGTAGTAAGACCGATTTTTATATTTTTAACATCAATACATATTCATGTTGGCCAGTTCAGAGGAATAAATATCTGTGTATTCTTTGTTCTCAAAAAGTACAAAACAGTATGAGAATTGGGTATATGTGGGTATCATCAGTAAACAGCGTTATTTTATTTAATTCACATTTTAAATGGTGGCTTTATTTGTGGTTTTCAAGTGAACTGCCTGACCTAGATGGGAGTCATAGGGTTTTCAGGCGGTGATGGCAAGTTGCTTGGAGATTCCTCAAGGCCATTTCTCTGCTTAATGAGATCTTGGAGGATCTATTGGTCGAGCTAACCTATCAAGTGGCCCTGACTCAGCACCACCCCATGTACCAGGGCGTCCCCTGCCGTCCCAGTGTTTTGAGGGATTCCTGGAGAGGATAGAGAAAGTCCCCTCCAACCCTGAACCCGTGTACCTGCTGAGTTTGATCACTCTGTGCATTTCTTGGTGTCACAGAGGTACTGTCCCTGCTCCTTACTGCATCGGCCAAACCTGGAGCAAAGTCCTATGTCTTCATCACACACATACACATATAACAAACACCACTTACTGGAGGTCTTTGTGTGAGCAGCAGGTTTTATTGACCTTTTGATGAAAATTAAAGAAAACTAATAGAAAAGAGAATGAAACACTTGCAACACAAATATTTCTTTTTTCATACCTAACAGTTTATGTTAGATATTCTTTGGAATACGTCCCTTCAAGAAGGCTCCATTTTCTAACATCTACGTGGTTGAGGTTCCTTTCTCCTCCAAACAGGACTAAGTGGTTGGTCTTAACTCTAGATTTATCTCTATCCAATTCCCACATTTAAAGAAGAAAAGAACAATTTTTCTACCAGACCCAGATTTTGCAAATCTGCCTCAACATGATGAAGTGAATACTTATTAATATGCTAGAACATGTTTACTTCTTTCCACTCCACAGCAATTCCTAACATTTTACATGGTGTCTTTTCAGGTCCATAAAGATAAAAACAAAACAAAAAAACTGTGACCCCAAAACGTTTAGTGGCTGAAGCCCAAGCTTTGGGGTGACCACAGAAGCCCCAGCACCACTTTCTGAGCCGGACTGCCACAGGGCAGCAGCCTCTGGCTGTCTACTGGCTGAGCCCCTCCCTCCCAGGCAAAGTACCAAGGGCCCACCTGAGGGCTAGGCCATTGGGGCCACCATGGCTTCCGTTTGTGCCCCCAACCCTGCAAATGTTAGGAATGGGCTTGAAACTTCTTATGTAGGGCAAGGAGCTCCTCTCCAATTTCTATTGGGGAGCCCAGTGGTTTTGCTCTTCAAGATATACTACTGTGCAAAGAGTTTGGATAACAAGGCAATGGATAAAAAACGATATGTAACTCTCCCAATAATGCTACATTTTCGTTTCATGGAGTGATCCACAAGAATATAATAAATGGAAATTCTAACACTGACTTACGCTGTTGGTTTTAACCCCTAAAGTCGAGCTGAGATTCTAAGTGCTAGCAGTGGACTTTCTAATAAAACAAAAGCATTCTTATGACAAGAGAGATTCTCATCGCTGCTTCCCATTTGTTGCACAGGACATTTCAGGAACGGCCTCACTGATAGATGCAAGGAACACCAGAGTGCTCACCTTCATCTCCTATGTTGGGTGTGGAATATCTGCTATTTTTTCAGCAGCAACTCTCCTGACATATGTTGCTTTTGAGTAAGTATTTTCTCTCTGCCAAACCCAGTGTTAACTGTTCCAAAAATGTGAACAAGAAAACTGCTTCAGCTTTCAAAAACTTTCATGCACTTTGTGAATCATGTAAGGTAGTTCAATTTTATGTTCAGGTTTCTCATAAGATATATCATAGAGCATGAATTGTCCAGATGTGTAATGTTAATTTATAATCCGTGTCTTTTTATTGATGCAATGCATTTGAGCCTGTTAGAGATGATTAACACGTAAGTAAATAAAAATTGTATTCAGTGTTTTTACCTGGTAAAAGCTGAAAACATTTGCTTCCCAAATCTTATAAAATTAGTCCTAACACAGGAAATTTTGGTTTAAAAATAATCTTTAGCTCATTAAAAAATCAAAAAACTTTAAAAAAAGTTTAAGGAAAACTTTTCAAAACAAAAATATCATTTTAATAACCACAATTATTCTGGATTAAAAAAAAAAATCAAGCTGTTGAAACCAATTGGCAGTTTTGTAAACAATTGGAGACCATTTTGAAATAAAACTGGTATTGACCATAATTTGCCAAATGCTCACCAATACCGTTAGCCCTCCCCCTAGTGGACCCCTGCCACAGAGACGGCGCTGCCGAACCCACTGCAGAGCCGTGCCAGACGTGAAGGTGTTGCCTGTGCTTGAAAGATTGATTTACAGTGTAACTTCTCATATCTTTCTTGTTTTCCTGTTTAGAAAATTGCGAAGGGATTTTCCCTCCAAAATCTTGATGAACCTGAGCACGGCGCTGCTGTTCCTGAATCTGAGCTTCCTCCTGGACGGCTGGATCACCTCGTTCCACGTGGAGGGGCTCTGCACCGCCATCGCCGCCCTGATGCACTTCTTCCTCCTCGCGACTTTCACCTGGATGGGGCTGGAAGCGATCCACATGTACATCGCTCTGGTTAAAGTATTTAACACTTACATTCGCCGATACATCCTGAAATTCTGCATCATTGGCTGGGGTGAGTGTCCTCAAAATTTGGGGTTTTGTTTTCACTGTCGTGGGAGTTGCCACGTTCTCATAGGAAAATGCTGTTTCGAAAGAATAGCATTGCTTAAAGAAACTTCAGATTTTCAAAGGCTGTGGATTGGATGTACCTGCCTTAAGGAAAGGGCTCCCTCAGAACAGTATTTTTAAAAACTGTTCAACAGGCCTCACTATGTGCAAGAATAAAGGCAAAACCCTTAGCCCCCGAGTCACCACAAACTTATTTCGTGTGCCCAGGGCAATCTGAAGAGGCAGCTGGCAGACAGTGGTGCATTTCTATGATGTTTCAAAATATAAAGGCTGGCTCAGACTGCTCCTATACTCACCCCTAGACACACGCCCATGTCTTAGAAACCAGAGAGAGAATGTTATTTTTGTGTGTGCGATCAGAATTCTTAGCCAGGCATGGATGGTTGTATTAGCCTGTCTGGAATCTTCTAAGTGGACTCTTTTCTTTATCTGGGTTTTATATTAAGCCAGGCATTTAGAACTTTCTCACAGATCCCTTTTTCAGATGTCAGTGTAGAAATCTGAGACATTCCCAAGGTGTTCACCATTTTAGCAGGCGTCTCTAAGGGAACTGGGATAGTGTAACTTTTCCCCGATGAAATATACATGGAATTACTTTACTTATTGAGTCTCTTGAGAGAAAAAGGAAGACTATAAAGACTATATAGTTTCTGTATTTCTCCCCCATTTTTTCTCAAGAGTTTTCTTTATATAGAAAGGGGAAAAATAAGCTGTAATTCCCTTTCTGCCAGAACTGTGCGGTCTAATAGACCTGATTAACAAAACCACATTGCTGGTCCTAGATTCCATATAAACCCAGTTCTGGTTCTCTAGTTGGTACCAGCAAACAAACAAATATTTATGTACCTGTCATTTAAGAGTAGGTGTTGATCATTGGCAATTGAATTGGATGTTTCTCACCAAAGAGAAGATTTATGTGTTTTTAACCAAGCTGCCAGTTCTAAGAAATTTGATTCTGTGATATAGTTTTCTTTTCTTTCTTTTTTTTTTCCTTGCCATAATCAGCCTTATAAAGCAGTTCCAAATGCTTCAGAAAAGTTGCTCACAGCATGCTCTCTTTATAACAGGTTTACCTGCCTTTATAGTGTCAGTTGTTTTAGCAAGCAGAAACCAAAATGAAGTTTATGGAAAACAAGGTGATGAATTGTAAGTAATAAAAACATGTCGGTAATTTATTTTCAATGAGTATATATCCTTTGTTTCCCAAAGTTTAGTATTGGTTTCCATGCCAACGCGAGACTCTTACTTTAGAAGGTTGACGCACATATGCATGCCTTTCCAGGGTTTCTGCTACATCACAGATGAACTCAGTTGAAAGCCCCAAACTGTTCAAGTTCCTTTTCCATATGAATGTTGTCTGTCAGCTGGAAAAATGCAGAAGTTTCAGATACTAGCTTCTAAACTCAGAAGACCCAGTCTGTTTGAGGATATTTCATAGTAATCCCACTTCCTTAAACCCACGTACATCTTTAAGTGTGTTAAATAATAGTGTCAGGTAGTAATGCTCATGAGTCAGTGCTAATATGAGTGTTACATGGAAATGGAGAGAATGTAGACATCAGTGAGTTCTTGAATAATCTGGAAAGTTTTCCTTCGACTGTGAGATAATCGAGGCTAACATATTTATATTGTGCCCTTTTGCAGTTATTTCACTCATATTTTATGCAGCACATAGCATGTGCTCAATAAGTATTTGTTGATTGAATGAGTAACTGAAGGAACAAAGAACCTACTCCTGACTGTGATGCCACATTACTCTGCACATTTCAGGAGTGAATAACACTTTTATATCCAATCAGTATCCAATCCAGTCCCCATTCCCTCATCGTCTTCTCTTGTTTATAGTTCCAAAGTAACCCCCAAAAGCCTCCCACAATAACCAGCATACAATAAAGGCTCGAGGTCAGAAATTTCGGGATTCTGAGGGAACTGCCCTGTATAAAGAAATATTAGCGTTAGGGATAAGCAGTGTCATTTGGGGCTCCTCATAATAAGATATATTAAAAGTAAGTCAGTACATACGTTCTAAATAAGGTCATTTAAAAAACACCTTAGTCAACTCTTTTAGAACCTTAAAGTGCATTTAATAAATTGCTGTGGCATCAACAGCTGTTGTTTACTGAGCACTTACTATGTGCCAGGAGTCATGTTAGCTTCTGGGATTCAGCAGTGTTCAGGATAGCATTTGCCTTTGTGGTGGTCATGTTCCACTTTGGAAGACGAAACCCAGAGTGATGACTATTTACACTCAAATTTTGAGATCAGTTTAAATGTCTTAAATAATAAAACCAATTTTTGAGGTACCTAAGAACTTCCACAGTATTGTTATTAGCGGGGGCATCAGTAAATTGTAGTATTTGTTCAATTTAATCATAGAACATTTACACATGGTACAGTTTCTAAATTGCTTTGAGCTGTTTTCAGGTCTGTGTATCATTTAACATCAAGGATATCTTTCCTCATTTCATAAAGATAGTGTAACCAGTGTAAGCTTTTTAATTGTGCATGAGAAGTGCCACTGTACCAATATCACAGATTTACAATAAGGTCTTACCTCAACTAGACCAATGATATTAATCGGAATTGTTTTGTCTGCCATGTGGAATCCACAATTGTGTGTGTCTTAAGGAGGAATGTACTCTTCTCACGATGCAGAAACACAGAGCAATGAGCAATCAACTGGCATTAGTGTAATGGTGGAAGTGTCCGGGCCAGAACCTTCAGCTCGCTGGCCTTTCTCTCCCGGGTGGAAAGTGATCGCTGCAGCTCCCGAGCTTCTCTCGTGTTTGAAGCAGAAGGAATGACTAAGCGCTTTGGCAGTTGCATCTGTCAAGAAGAGCTCTCCCAGACTTTGCTTCCACATCATTTTGTAGAATAATGTCCACATGACTACCCCCGAGAGAGATTGAGAATATGAGCTCCTAAATGTCGCATTCTCTGGAGTGCAGGCACATACGAGAAAAGGGGGTTAGACGTGGTGTTGGGTGAACCAACCGAGTGTCTTCATGCCAAGTCAGAATTCAAGTAGCCACCTGGTTTTCTTCTCCACCCCTGACTTAAACAACTAGACATTAAGATGATAGCTATCCAGAATAAACCAACAAACACACCTACAAGAAAACAGAGGCCTGTAAAAATGAAGGACTCTGTGAAGGTTTGTGAGAAAGGCCTAGCTGGGAAACCTGAGGAAGCCCAAATCAAGCTGGGAGAAGTCTTAGTTCAACAGGCATGGTAATACATCCTTCTTCACTCTGTTTCTTCTCCTTTAAGCTGTTGGATTCGGGACATGGTGGTGTTTTACGTGACCTGTGCTGGGTATTTTGGAGTCATGTTTTTCCTGAACGTTGCCATGTTCATCGTGGTAATGGTGCAGATCTGTGGGAGGAACGGCAAGAGGAGCAACCGCACCCTGCGCGAAGAGATCTTGAGGAACCTGCGTAGTGTGGTCAGCCTGACGTTTTTGCTGGGCATGACGTGGGGTTTTGCTTTCTTTGCCTGGGGACCCTTGAATGTCCCTTTCAAATACCTCTTCTGCATCTTCAATTCGTTACAAGGTGAGATAAATGGTACCTGAACAATTTCCACTGGCTAATTGTTTCATATTTGCAAACAGCTTTCCCGTTGGATGCCGCACTCAGTTTCTATGTCACTATTCCAAGTGCAGAGTATAGTTTCGAGCACAGGGGGCATACTCATCAAAAAGTCTTGAGGTAGAATGTCTGTTTGTTTTCAGTGATGTATCCCAAGGACCAAGGACAGAGCCTGGCAGATAGTAGGTACTCAATAAACATATGTGGTTCATGACTGAAAGTGGGCAGGGAGGTGCCCACAGGGAAGTTTAAAGGGGTGCAAAACACCTTAGTTTTGTTGAGTGCTGGGGGTGCGTCTCACGGAACCTTCCCATGTGGTGTACTATTCTTGCTCTGAAGACTTTTTATACTCTATTCAGAGAGAGCAATTCACTTTGATTCCTTGGCTGCTTGGATTTCAAAGTAAATACCAACACTCTAGTTCAGAAATGCTTATTTTTTTTCATGATATATAGCAATTAGTTCAACAAGTTAAACACTTACCAATGGCCTGCTTTGTACAGAAATATAAGACTTCCTTCAAGAAACTTCCTCTCACGCTTCTGATTCTATAATACATGCCCTAGTATATATGTGATGAGCTTAACTTTAAGCTTAAGTGAGTGAATATAAATTATTTTGAAATTTTTACTTTTTTGAAAATGACACCCTTCAAGACATTGGGTATACCCTCTTTTTATAAACCCCCTAATGTTTAGAAGCACCATGAGGTCCCCACTCCAAAAGGAATGAGGTGACAGAGTTTGGAATCTTTGAGCCAGGCAGTGCTACTGGTCTACCTGAAATTACTGGTATGTCCTCGTAGGCATACGGGGAAGGAAGAGCTGACTGAAGCAAGCTGGACATATCTGTGCTGGGTGGAAAGTGCGGTGGAAATCAAGTTTGTGCTGCCCACCAAACCCGAGGCCTAGGCAGTGCTCCCTACAGGTGTGCTCTAGGACAAGTCTGCATTTACCCGACTTCTCTTAGAGAGTGTTTGCGTGTTTACTGCTTTGTGTTATATGGATTTAACTTTGCTTTTACTCCTAGGTTTCCCATTAGCTCATGGGCTCCTGCAAAAAATCTGTCACATAGTTGTGGTGCTTAATAATTGTTTGTTAAATGAATAAATGGATTGCTGGATAAAGAAAGGGGGGGGTCTTCAGGGATGGCCTAAATTCAACCTGAGACTCCTGTGGCATAAATCCACATTAATTACTTGAGCAAACTTTATTCACGTTCACTCTCCCATAACAGAGAAATATGTGGGCTCATTATCTTTGGTAAATAGAATGTCTCAAGTGCACCTCCAAAAGGTGGAAACTGAAGAGGTAGCATGTATACATCTTCATTGAAATCTGGCTTTGCAGAGCGACTTTTTCTCTGCTGAATCTGTTCTGTAATATACAGTGTAAATGTACCTAGGTAAATATTGACAAAAATGTCCATTAACATGAGAAATTCGATGGTTTTATATTTCAGGATTATACATGAAAGGCACATTACTCTGCCAGCCCAAGCTAGTTTTTGCCTATAGAATTTCCTGGCAGTTTCTATAACCCCCAAGAGCTACAGTTGTCTGTTTTGCTCTGTTTTCATTAATGAGAAATGGGATGTTTTATTTTTCCCAGCATAGGTCTCTTGTCAGGAGGGGAAAATGTCATAAACCACCATCAAGTTCTATCCTTCATAAATCATGACTTTTAAGATGAAATTTAAATTATATAAATTCAGAAAACATTTTTGCGCATCCAGTGATATTAAAAATACCTCCTAAAAAGGGAAAGTTATGTTTAAAAGCAGGGACACAGAGCACATGAGCCTACTGACAATTGCTTACTGGCCCAGCCTATACAAAAGCTTCTCAAGACACCATGGGAAAGCATTTAATGGTTTTTATTTGAGTCATTTTCTGGACCTCCCAAGAGAGGTTTATTATTAAAAGTATATACTTTATTAAAAGAAACCTGTGGAATTTAGTTTAAAGAAACAATTCAGTGAATGCAAAATGAACTCAGGTAGTGCTTAGACAAACTTAATTATGTCTATTTCTTTTCTTTCTGATATTCTGTATTCGAAAAAAGAAAAGAAAAGAAAACACCTTGATGTGATCCCTTTGCCTTATAGAGCTTATATTCTAGTAGGAGAGAGTAACATTCACCAATTTTGTCACCATATAAAAGTACCTGGTAGTGTTAAGAGCAGCTGACAGAAGATAAGAATTTTAAGCTGAAGGATCAGCAGGAATTAACTAGGTGAAAGTTGGGAGTGGAAGTGAGGAAAGAATATTTCAGGTAGAGGGCACTTCACGTGCAAAAGACTTTCTGTATATTAAGTCCTCACTTGATGTGGTCAATAGGTTCTACGGCTTTAAGCAAATATATAAGAGAACCAATGTGACCACAGGCTAACTGGTATAAGCAAGAGTTAACTTCTTATGGTATCTCATCCATGTTATAATGAAATTCCATTATTCGAGGATCTGCTGCAGTTGTTGATTATAACATCTGCTCAAAGAATTGATAGAAAGCTCATATAACCTGAGAACCAAGAAAGAGCAGGAGAGGGACCTTGTGGTGTGGCACAAAAGGGGGGCGGGGCTAGACCGGAAGGCTTTGAGTTTTGATCTTTATGAGGGCAATGAGAAGTCTTTGAAAAGTTTTAGGCCTGTGAAATGACATGATCAGATGTACATTCTATAAAGGTGAAGCTGGACATTATAATATAAAGAAGAGATTAGAGCAGTCCAACAGCATCTGCAGAGAGAGTAGGTAGGAGGCTATTGCAATGGTCTGGGGAAGATAAGGTGGTATTTTAGACTACAGTGGGAATGGGTGGCTGGAGAGATGAGCAGGAGACAAGAGAAATTTAGGAAGTATGCTACTATAAAATACTCATCATTGGTGTGGTGATTAGAGTAAATTCGTATGTGTCTAATGATTTGGGTAAAAGGTCTTCTTATTAGTGGAATATTCTAGTTCACTGAAGCCTGGCATCATAGACTTAGCAATGGCCAAACACTGAGAATGTAATACAATATTCTGAAAACTAAAACTGTGCCAAATAAACTTTAATCTTCCCAGATGTAGCTCATAGTTGAACATCTGAAAGTCAGCAGGGTCCTCGTTATGAATGCCCACGCTCAGAGTTGATCGTGAATGCCTGTAGGTGACAGATGCGGGACTGGTGGCAGGGAACCCGCTCGAGCTGAGTTACAGTGATGTCACAGCGTGTGTATCACAGAAGCGGCTTTTCTAGCACAGCTCTTTTGTTTTTGGGTTTTTTTTTCCAGTTTATATTAATTTATTTTTGTTACAGATGTTTCTCCTTTTTCCCCCATCGACACCCTCCTCCCATTCCCCGCCCTCCAACATTATTGTGTGTGTCCATTGGTTACGCATACATGCACATGAGTTCTGTGGTTTACCTCTTCCCTCTCCACCCCCGTCCTCCTCTTCTGAGGTTTGTCAGTCTGTACCCCACTTCTATGTCTCTGGGTCTATTTCGTTCATCAGCTTGTATTGTTCATTATATTCCACAAATAAGTGAGATCATGTGATATTTGTCTTTCTCTGCTTGGCTTATTTCACTTAGCATAATACTCTCCAGGTCCCTCCATGTCGTCTCAAAGGATAAGAGACCTTTCTTTCTTACAGCTATATAGTACTCCATTGTGTATATGTACCATAGCTTTTTTATCCATTCATCTATTGATGGACACTTGGGCTGTTTCCAGATCTTAGGGATTGTAAATAGTGCTGCTATGAACATAGGGGTACATATATTCTTTCTGATTGGTGTTTTAAGCTTCTTAGGGTCTATTCCTAGAAGTGGGATCACTGGGTCAAATGTCAGTTCAGTTTTTTTATTTTTTGAGGAAACACCATATTGTTTTCCATAGTGGCTGTACCAGTCTGCATTCCCACCAGCAGTGTACTAGAGTCCCCTTTTCTCCACACCCTCACCAATACTTGTTTGATGATTTGTTAATGGCGGCCATTCTGACAGGTGGGAAGTGATACTCATAGTTGTTTTAATTTGCTAGCAGAGTTCTTTTAACTTATGTGTAGGTCTTCAAATATTTGGTTAAAACATTTAAAATTCTTAAAAATAAATGTATATATTTATTTGGTTAAAATATGCTAAATCTTTCAGAGATAAAGGTACATATTTTTAAATGTATGTATGTGTTTGTGTACAAACACATAATTACATGTGTAATTATATACATACTCACATAAATTTGTATAGTCTATGTACTAAAATGTTGTAAATGGTTTATTTTTATTTTATATACTTTATTTTTATATTTTATGTTTTCTATTTTTATTATTTCATATATATTTTTGTTTTTATGTACACTTATAACTACATTTAAGGGCAAAGTTCTTTGAAATAGATACCAGAAAATTTGTGGCTGTAACTAAAAATGTACCTACTTGAATAAGCAAATGAAATAATGAATTGAATCAAAGCTGAAACCAAGTTTACTATTTTCTATTTTTTCAAGTATATTGCTTTGTTCTTTTTATTTTATCTACTTTATTTTTTATATATTAATCATTTCACTGAATTTTTTTCCTCGAAGATAAAGAGATAAATATCTCTTCTCTTAACTTGGTAGAATTCCATGATCAATCTGCTTTTGCTGTTTTTGCTGCTTTCCCAGGAAAAAATTGGCAGATCATTGTATCAGAAATTTTAATTTTTTTCTAAAGAATACAACTTGAATCGGCTTACACAAATTGTTATTCAAAGGAGAACAGATGTTTGACAAAAGTAGATAATAATTTACATGCCTGAGAACATTAGCCTTCATTTCAGCAAATATGTGATTCATTCTAAAGAAATAAAAGGCAACTCCCTGATGACTGAGAAGCTCTTGGCCACCTGATGGCATGTCTGTCCCTTGGCAGTCGATGCTCCTGTAGGCTTGAATTACTGCTCTGTGGTGCAGCATGTGCATAGCTGCTTGTTAGACAAGT